GGTTCACAGAGCTGTCCAAGCAAAAGTTCATCTTGCAGTTTCCACAATGCCGCCTCGGCCTAGACGATGCGTTTGTGATTACTCAACGAGTGCGAGGTCTGACTCAATTCGCCCTCGATCTATTTGAAGTACGAGCCCTGTGTCTCGCAACTAAAGTCGTCTGCAGTTCCCATGACGTGGCAGCTCTGCGACAACGCGTTGACATCGCCATAGACATGCCAGAAACGCACAAAGATAGCGAACGAACGTGGAAAGAAACAGCACTTGGCACCGATGTGCCAGTCCAACACGACTCGACGTGGGCCATCTGCTTGGACGAGTTTGAAAAGTCGGCAAGCGCCATTGTGCGATTTCATTGCAGCCACACGTTTCACCTTACGTGCAAAAGTACGTGGCTACAATGCCATGTGTCCTATCCAATGTGCCGCAAAGATGCTTGACCAATAATATGATTGATTCTACGTGTTTCGTTCAGGCATGTCGGAGGTCTTCGTTTTGGAGCGTTCAAATTATGTTACTGTATCAAACCAGGGACAGCGCTGCGGTTAGTTTGCCAACCTGGCATCACAAGTGTCACATTATAAGCTACTTAAATACTTGGGCAAGTCCATGTCGGGGTAAGAAAACGCCGTAAGCTGAAGTTAGTATGTTTATTGCAGTATAGTTGGTTCCTTTTAAAGCAACCCCACGAATGCTAAATTACAACTGGAATGTCTAGTAACATCAAATTAATACCAATCCCTCCTGTACCCTCCTGTACGCCTATGTCAGTTCATACTAATGTTATTCAGGGATGATAAACACTTTTAGTTTTTGAAAGCACTACTAAACACAGTAACTTTACACTTGTGATATCAAAATAACGAGGCAGTTCAAGATATTTCACCCACTGGAGATGATTTCGGGTCCAACGGTTGCATTGAACCCTGTACAGTTTTTCATGTGCCCCCACTTCTCGATGCAATCCTTGGCCAAAGTAGTTCTCGTTGTCGCCAACATCGCGCTAATCGGTGCTGGTGCCGTCTTGATCTGGCTGGGGGTGCAGTCCCACAACGGGGGGTACGGGAGCGACATCTTCTCCACGAAGACGGCCACCAATGTGAGCACCATGTCCACGCTCCTGATGGTGCAAGGAGTATGCGCGATCTTGATTGCATTCGTCGGGTTTGGCGGTGCCGCGTGGCGCAACCGGTCCCTCCTCACGTTGTACTCGATCTTCGTCGTGCTGGGGTTGCTGTTGTTTGTGGCGATCGCAATCGTTGGCTTCATGTCGGCGTTCCAGGCCAACTCGTGGATCTCCCAACCCTTCCCCGCCGATCCCACAGAGAACGACCTCGCCACGGAGTTCAACCACGTGTACTGCTACGCCCAAGGGGGGCGCTTCTGCGTCTCCGCTTCCATCAACGACGCCGTGCACACGTTCTTTCCGTCAGGGATGGGGGGTGACGTCGCCCTGGCGGCATGCAAGGCGGCCGGGGTCGATGTCAACGCCAAAACAGGTCTTGTGGGTTTGTGCGACCAAGTAGAGGCTAAGCTGGCGTCGGTGCTGTCGAACGCGTTGCCCAAGACATTCAAGGAAGCATGCGCGACGTGCCGACAGGTCAAGGCCGCGTTTGGCGACCGATCATCCAAATCCCTTTTCGAGTGGGCGGATGCCACGTGCCCCTTGACCAACGACACGGCGATTTGGTGCGCCAAGTTGTTCCTCTCAAAGTCCAATCAAACCGTACAAACTGACAAGGACAACGCCACTCCGTACACACAGTGTCGCACACCAGTGTTGGAGCTGTGGCGGCAGTACGGTATCAAAGGGGGCGTGGGGGGCGTCGCGCTGGCGTTGCTCTCGTTTATCGTTATTGCCGTGTTGTTCCAAGCAGAACTCCACAATGGCAATGGTGGCGGGTATACTCGCGTGTAAACCCACCCCAGGGATGTCCCGGTATATTAATATATACTTCAGTATATACATATTCTCGATGTGTAGACTTCTGTATGTACAGTACAATGTACAGTACATACGAAGTGAGTACTAGTTTATATATACTACCAGTAGTATATGTATATACAGAGTAGCGTTCAAGGACTCCTTCATTGTCGAATACTACAAAGTATGTATGGACCATCGAATTATTTAAGCTCGGGGCGTTGCACAGCAAATATGAAGTGATTCTTCTCCTCTTGAGGCCGAATAATATATATGGCGATGTTGGCGGCCCCCTTGATATATACATATATACATATATATATTAACGCAATAAACTATCTAATTTGTTGACGCTGGATTTGGTCAGCACACGCGTGGGCACGTCGACCCGCCAGATGGCGCGGAGGCAGTCGGTGGGGAAGAGGCGGCGATTTTCCATCAAAAACAGCTCCAAGTCGGTTTCGGACAACGTCAGCAATTGAAAGTACCTATAATTCCCCCACACACGAAACCATACACAAAATACAATCAGTGACAAAAATATATGGTCATATAGTATATATATATATATATATATATATATATACCACAATATCCACTCTACTAGGTATCCCATTTCCGTTCGAGGTAGATATAATACTAGTAGAGAGTACAGTATATATATATATATATGTACTATCCCCCCACACAGGATGCATATATATATATATATATACATGTACAACGTACCGTTTCGCGCGTTCAAAGTGGTAAAAGTCTCGCCGAATCATAGGGTACCCGTACAAGAGCGCTGTCAAGTTTTGCTGCAACGCGTTCAAATTCACGGCCATTTGCGAGATAGTTGCTAGTGTCATTTTGGGCGTGTACTGGACACTGTGCATGACAATCGTAGCTTCTAGACGGTCAAGGCCATCCCACACGAACGCCATCTTGTCGGTCGTTAAAGGGAGGTGCATTCGCATGAGGTGTGCATTCCAACCAACAATGCACTCGTGCGGCGCCACCAATGTGGACGACGGCGCCGCGGCGGTGGAAGTAGGGGAGGATGATGGTGATGAAGTCACTTGGGTGAGGTAGTAAAACGCATGGAGTCGCAGTTCCCGCCGCAAAAAGAAAAGACATTCGTCCGCGAGGCCACTGCATCGCCAACTGACTGACTTGACGTTGTGGAGGACGTGCTACAATATATTTATATATATATATATCAAACATCCAGTCTGCTACAATATATATAAATCAAACATCCAGTCAAGGTCAAAATACAAGGAGCGATAAGAATAATATCGAAATCTCATTATATCCAGTCAAGGTCAAAGTATAACGAAGTACTGGTAGAAACAAAATGAGAGAATATGTGGTTTCAATATCGAAAACTATCACTGGGATGTTATACAATCCTAGGTCACAGAGAACCACGCAGCAGCAATATACAGTCTGTAGTCCAATTCCTCTTGAAACACCCACGAACGAGAATATATATGAAAACTAGATATATATACCTGTGACAACGTGAAAAGTACGAGGAAAGCGGGGTGTATGTACCTCGAGGGTGTCGGCAGAGATGGCCACGGCAGCCGACTGAATGCGCGCTTCCGTGTGCAGTGACACAGCGTCGCATGCCATGTTGATGTACGCGAGCATGGCGAGCTTGCCCTGGTCAAACAGCAGCCGCTTGGTCACTGGCAGCGTCCAAAACGCTGGGTCTTTAAACTTGACTTCAAACTCCCACTCAGTCGCCTGTAGCTGGTCCGTCTTGGACGACGACGACATCTCGGACGTGGTGCTGGTCTACATTCCATTTCGATATATATATTGTCAAATGGAGTGTGTTTGGGTGCTTTCAATCGAATATAACCACATGACAATCGATATACGACCAACAAGCACAACCCACAACACGAACCGAGTAGCCAATCAAAGCCATTCGTCGATGACCAAGGCAACGTCGAATTAGTGTGTGAATGAAATTAGTGTGAGACAGGACGAGCTTTACAAAAGTTAGGACAAAGATATATTTGGCGAATAATCAAAAGTCAACCAAATTTGGAGTAAAAGAACGACAATATAATCATGTTTCACAGGTCTTCATTATGATATATTGTCGATTTGAGAAGGTTTTGATTGGCTAATCATTTTGAGCTCATCTGACGACATCATGTAGCCACTCTAATCGATGTATAAATTCCAACGAGAAACCACGAAATATCACTCGAAAGCACAATATCATGATGCTCCATGTGCTTTCTTCACGTACGGCAGCCGCCTGTGACGTTGTTGAGAGAATGGGCGTGGGCAGCGCGTAGCTGTACCCGTAGCTGTGTCCTGGGGACGCTGCATCCTCCGTATGGTCACAGGTGGTCGTCGGTACGACTTGGGCGACCGGTTGATGGGGCACTTTGCCTTTGGCCATCAAGTACACGGCCGAATCTTGAAACGTCCGCATGAGTTCCGACGCCGCGACGCCCGTTTCCAGCTGATTCAGCGTGCCGTCGCATATTTTTCTAAGTGTATGTACATACATATACGTGAACGCTCCCATACTTCACATATTAACCGGATATTATTTCATATTTACCGGACAATTGCCGAACACTCTTCGACGTAGCGCAACATGGTGGCTTCCAAAACCCCCGCGACTTCGATTTCGAACGACGGCATCGTGGCCAACATATCAAACATCGCGTCCACAAGATGCAGCATCACGTGCACGTCTGGCACTTGCAACGGTACGTCCTACCCGATGTATATAACCAATTTAGACGGAATATTAGGTACAAGCTCACAACAACCAGGACATGTCTACAGTGTCTGTGTTCACACAAGCAATGGGAGGGTATAATGTTTCAGGCGAATTAGACGACGGAATAGATTGAACACTTAATTTGGCGATATATGTAGGTTAGCACAAATCGTACGAAGAGCCCAACATGATGACGATATGCACAAGTGTTCGGCTACGTATATACGATGTACTAGTACTATTAATATAAATCCTAGGATCAAACGCTATGAATGAACAATAAAAAATAAACATAAAACCATACGATCTTGAATGAATGGATTATAATCATAACAAGAAAGATATTATACAATAGATGGACGTTCTTCTTCACCCAGCGCGCATATATATATATATATATATAAATAAGTATATATATATATGACGAAATCCTTGAACGATCACCGATACACTCAGACGTACCAATGGCGGTGACAGGTCGAAACGGCGGGGCACTCGCGTCGTGGGGCGAGCGAGAAAGTTCTACACACACTCTGGTCATCGTTGCTAAGCAACTAGACCTACCTCAGCTTCTGCTTTGAGCCGCGGGAACCACCCTTTAATCAAATACGGGTGTAACATATCTGCCGCGTACGACGACGCCGCGCCCGCCGCCGCTTGAACCGCGTCTGAAAACCGAACCAAGTCGGCGTACACGACGGGCATATGAAACAAACTGGCGGGGCACACGACCAGTCGCTTTGAGTCGCCCTGGGAAGAAGAAGGCGGTGGAACAACCGCCGCCGCTTCTTGCTGGAGCTGCGCGAATCGAAATAACCCCGTCGCACTTGGCAACAACGTCGGCGGTGGAGTTGACAGCAGCGTCACAGCCACCCCGTCCGTATACATTCCCACTTGCTCCTACCATATATATATTTATATAAGTACCAGCCCGATTAACAAGATTGTCTATCGTAAGAGAGCTAGACCGACTGGATGTACACTTGTCGTTGATATATTTGACTGCACCATGAAATATACAAACGATCGAATCCCATGATTCAGAATGAAGCAATCATGAATAAAATCACTAAAAATAAGTTAAAATACAAATTATTATAAATATTTTATTGTCGCTTTGATACAAATTTGGGACGGGGTGCAATCGAATTTCGCGCCGACCAAAACGATCCACAATCGATCTGATTGGTTGAATTTCATTGATCAAGGTTTTGATTGGTTAATAATTTTGAGCTCATCTGAAGTAGCCAATCAAATCGATTTAAATTCCAACGAGAAAGCACAATAGCTTGTATTTTTTTATTCAACCAAGTCCTATAAAATCTCAAATCAATTCAACCAGTGGACTATTGTGGATTCGGCACAACTCGCCGCCGAATCGACTCACGAATCGATGCTACTCGAATTATTTGAGTGAATCTGATTGGCTCTTATAGAAACGACAAGTGTAGATTCACCCAATCCGATACATCCTGCGTGATTCCACAAAAAACAAAAAGAATCTTCATTCGAAACGACCCTTTTATTATCGGCAAATACTTAAAGCGCCTTCGCAAGATTTCAATCAATAAGTGTTCCAATAATATTATCGTTTCGTCAATGACGGTATTAGTAGTCCTAGTAGTTAGTAATACTAGCAGTAGGGTTCGCACCTGGACCAGTCGAAACACGCTTTGAAGCACATCCGAGAGAGTGCAGCTGCCGTGGTCCATGCATTCTACCAGCAACGCATGGCGCCGCACTAGTTGCTCAAGCACTTGCGCCAACACTTGCACAAATGTTTCAAAGTTGCCCGACGCGGCGTGCGTGCCAAATGTCGCCTCTTCGTAATACCCCTTGCCTTGGCACAGCGCGGCCACGTGGGTGAGGACCGAGTCCAGCTGCACCCGCCGTGTATTTTTCAACGTGCCAGACACATCGACTTGCCGCGCCAGCCTGCCACGTCATACTATGAGTTTAGGTATACACAAACACGAATGCAAATCGTGATTCACAACCAAGTCGAATACAAGTGCCGCCGCATTGTTGTCTATACTACAAGGTATCGTCAATACCAACTAACCTCTGGCCCCTTCGAGTTTGCTCGACGCCACTTTTGTCAGGATTTACAATGAGAATGAATATATAGGCCAATCAATGGAAGATATCCACATACAACACCGGTATTGTCAAATTCGGCGTGCTGATACACCGGTATTGTCAAATTTGGCGTGCTGAATTCGATCGACCAATCAAAACCAAGCATACTACTCAAGTGGCCAATCAAACTCAGGCAACAACGATATTCGTCGTGTGTGACTTCAATTAGTGTGTGAAAACCAGAAGGACTTTTGACAATACCTGACAACAACCTACACTCTTCCACACATACAAGAGAGAGAGAGAGAGAGATGCTCATTGTTCAATTCAGGTGACTAGTAGTCGGTCCATACCGTTTCACACAAGTGACCAGCATCGCCAGCGGGTTTGCCGTGGGCGGCGCGGACGCTTTCCAAGTGTCTGGACGTCCAGAGGTATTCATGGCACCAATGATGGATGCGGGGGGGGACACAGTGTTGGTGGCGGTAGTGTACAGAACGTCCGCTTCGGCCAAAAGCGTTTGAAACACGGGGACGGTTTGCTTGAGGCCTTTGGCAAACGTCTTAAACACGTCCTATACTCGACGACGACCCGTTGAACTTTGAACCAACGACCGAACAAACCTGCAAAAATAGAATCGACTCGAGTTCTTGAACGATATGGTCTTCGATGAGCTGCTTGCACTCCATGAGAGCATTGCGCATGCTCGCGATGGCGTGGAACACGGCCAGCTTGTCGCTGAGCACCAACTCGAACGCGCGCAAGTACATGTCCACGGCAGCCGTCGCGTTCTTCGCACCCAGCGCGTGTCGGATCTGGCTTGGCGCCTTGTCGATAAAGTCGATGTCGTCGACTACTTCGATCACTTTCTTGGACTCGTACTTCAGCAAGAGCAACTCGTTTAGGTTTTTGGTTTTGGCGGTCAAGATCGCCTTGCCTTCCATGCTGCGCTTGCTCACTTCCACAAGACCCGCCCGCGCCTCTAGGGACGCTTGTTATCTGAAGAATACAAAGGACACGCATACATACCCTGGAGCTGGTTGGAGATGACGTTGAATTTGCCCAAGGAAGCGTTAAAGTTGGAGTAATTGGACTCGACCACCCCCGCGATCTCCTGGTCAGCCAACGACCGATACCGACCGATGGTCTGCAGCTGGTCCTTCCGCACATCCTCTGACGCGCCGACAATGTACCGCAGCATGTACTTGGTCGCGCTGAACTTCTTGTCCAGGAAGACGCGGTCGATCTCGTCGCTTGCTTTCATCGGTGTTCAAAAATGAAAGAAGATTCACCGTTACAGATCATCAGCGTTAAATAGTGTGGTGTTGTTGAACGGTTTCACACTACTATTCGAAATGTTAATAGTGTGAAACCGTTCGACAACACCACACTATTTAATAGTGTGTACAATAGTATTCGGTACAGTAGTACTAACTGTAAGTAGTACTACTAGTACAGTGTATGTACTACTTCAAGTATTACTGTACTAATATTAATATTATATTTACACAACTGCATGTTCGTATTGTTAGTAAGCATGGTGAAATCCCTTAGTTTAAGGACATGTATCAACTAAACTTCAAACTACTGTACGTACATTGCAGTCCTATAGAATGGGTTACGTCTGTAAAACCAGGTAATTTCATGTCGTCATCCTCCTACACACCTGACCCCAGGTTTTAATGAACATATATGATTGGATAAAATCTGTATTTATCCGCCAATCCATCGATGCCATTCCTCCAGGTACAATTTCCTGAACGTTTAGAAAGGACGGACACTCCAGGCGATGTTGACGGCAGCGCGGCGTGTATCGCTTGGACGATGGGCAAACCTCCAGCGACGAGCTGGCTTTGCATCAACATCCAAGCGTCTTCAGAGCAGCCATAATTCGCAGCATAATGCGTCGACATCGTCCGATGCAAGTCCATGGGGCAAGGTCGCGTTGGGGATCATCGGAGGGAGTGTCCTCTTGGGTGTGGGTCTTCGTTTGGTGCCTCAAGCTAGTGAACTGCAGGCAGATCCTGTCTTGACATCAACCGCTTCCTCTCCCGTTCCTGTCTCCGTTCTTGCGACACCCCAGCGCGATGCAACTTGGAAACACACCTTGGATCATGTTGTGCCTGCCATCGGTACGTCCTCCAACTCGTCCACCCTAGACAATATCCATGTCGCTCGACGTTTCCACATCGCATGTAACTTGTAGTGTCTCTCAAGCTCAATTCCCCCAAGGTACAAGCCTCCACACATCGTGCAATGACGACGTCGGCAACCTCATTGTTTGTTCGGTAGTCGTTTGATACAGAAAGCCCGGGCAACGGGTGGGCTACGGGGTTTGTCGTGGATGCCGAAAGAGGCATCATTCTCACGAATCGCCATGTCGTCGGTGCCGGTCCCATCGTACGTCGGCCATGCTCCACCTTTGTAGTGACAATACATCGATATCTGTGTAGGACGCCGAAGCCATCTTTCAAAACAACGAAGAAGTCCGCGTTGTTCCTATCTACCGTGACCCGGTCCACGACTTTGGCTTCTTTCGCTACGACCCTTCGGTACACTTATGTGTGTGTGTTTGAGATTGTAGTCGCGTTCTGTCTTGCATGAGCTGACATGTACATGTCGGAATCTGTTGACTATATCCCTTCCACACTCCATATTTTAATACGTCGTCGATGTCAAACCATTGGATTTCGTCACCATGTACTGTTGTATGTACAGTATGATGGCATGTGTAGCAACAATATAATCTTCTGCTGCCAGGAGCTTGCAAGCGTTCAGACTACTTCTTTACAATATATATATATATATATCCAAAAGTCCAAATTTTTGCTTGCTGAAAGAGCAATATATATTTGTATATCTCCAGACCCCGTCGAATCGAATCCCGATTTATCGACGCTATTGGCTAATCCAATTTTGAGTGGATTTGATTGGCTCTTACAGAAACGACAAATATATTCGACCAATCAGAACTCAAGCGTGATTGTTCAATATTGATTAGACAACCCACGCGAATACTTTTGGAAGTATATAGCGAACTCACTGTCTTTATATAAATATTGTTCGTTCAGCCACAATTTGGACTTTTGGGCTGCTTCGCAGAGTGTTTTGTACTACCTGTTGTATGTGAAGCCCTTCACACTATTTGAAGTCACACATTGAAATTCATCGAACGAGCCTGCACCGCCCGCACTCTTAAACATCCATTCAAATTTGAACACTATTTGGAATGTAGCATGTCCGCCATTTGAACGTGCCGTCGCTGCCGCTGCATCCGGAAAAAGCCATCGTCGGGACCGATATTCGCGTGGTGGGCAATGACGCGGCGGAGAAGCTGGCGATCGCGAGCGGCACATTGGCGCGGCTGGATCGCGACTGTCCGGCGTACGGGCTTAACACGTACAACGACTTCAACACGTTTTACTTTCAAGCGTCGTCTGGGACGTCCGGCGGGAGCTCCGGGTCGCCCGTGCTCAACCAGGATGGACAGGTCGTGGCGCTCAATGCCGGCGGAAAGATGGGCACGAGCGCATCCTTCTACCTCCCGCTCGACAGGGTCAAACGCGTGCTCGAGGCGCTGCAGAAGGACGCCACCGCCGTGGTGCCCCGGGGCACGCTCCAAACCGTGTGGGTGCACAAGGCAAGTGGTGGATTCTTCTCTTTGTTTTTTTCTAGTGCTATATATATATATATATCACATATATATCATATATATATCACATATATGTGACAAGGTGGACTCTTTGAGATAGGGCGACCCCTCGATCGATCAATTTTTGTTTTGATATCGTGAATTTTGGTGCATACTTGGCACAGGAGTGGTCGATCTATCCAAAGGGTATCTATCTATCGCACGAATTGTGGCCATAAACTCAATTGCATGCAGGATGATGGAGGTGTCGATTCATCCCAAGGATGACCATATTGAAAGTGTCAGAGATTGATTGTTTATTTATAGTGGTTATGCGACGAGGTTTGTTCGGGGTTGGATATATTGTTGATGTTACTATTAGTATTAGTACATACAGCCTTGTGTGTTGTGTCTAGTAGTACCGAATGTCGTCTGAAGAAGCTTGAAGGCTTTGTATCTATCATCTATTATGGGGTACATGATGCGCGTTATTGTCAAAGAATGAAATTATTTAAATTGGCGCTAAAATAGTTGCAAAATACAGTATTTTAATTCATTGGGACAATATAATATACACATGTGCAATCACGGATACTTTGCAAAGCCTTATAATCTATACCCCTGTAATACTTGATTGATTTGTTGAATTGATGTAGCCATTCGACGAAGTCCGGCGCCTGGGGCTGCCCGCCGACACGGAAACGGAGCTACGGCAAGCGTTCCCCACCGCGAATGGGCTGCTGGTCGTGGCTGAAGTGCTGCCCAGCAGCTCTTGTGCGGCCAAACTCCACCCCGGCGACGTCCTCTTGCGTGTGAACGGCCACCTCGTCCACCAATTCGTGCCCGTCGAAGCCATTTTGGACGAGTCCGTGGGCCAAACGGTGCGTACAATTGAGCTTTTTCTATTGAGTATGTGTGTAGTAGTGCGTTTGTACTGTAGCTCAGAGGTGTAAAATAACTACTAGTACTACTACTATGAATAGTACTTGGCAGATTGGGCGTTGTGAACATGACACGTTGATGATGTTGTGATATACTACTACTGTATATTGCCTTGTGATATGGTGTATTTAAAGTTGGACTTGTGCCAAATAGCATTCGAATCCATCATGTTGGTCTCATTTTAGCTTGTAAAAGTATACAAAGATTACGATATATGTGGTGGTACGGGACTGGGTCGAAGCAAGCGTTTGGATTGGCACAAATTATCGTAGACGTGATTTGATTGGCTTTGGCGGTTCTTTCATCTATTCTCGGTTCGACTGAGGGCTCCCGTTTCGAATCGATTTGACAAGATATTGTCGATTTGATACAAATTTGGGGAGGGGGTGCAATCGAATCGTACCGACCAAACCATCGATCTGATTGGTTGAATTTCATTGAGAAGGTTTTGATTGGCTAATAATTTTGAGCTCATCGGAGGTAGCCAATCAAATCGATTTAAATTCCAACGAGAAACCATGCCACAACACGAAATTTCACTCGAAAGCACAATGCATATTGTTGTCCTTTTAGCCAACATTTGTGTGCTGATTCGTCAACTCCATCGATCGATTGTGTGTGTACTGCATTCGTGTTATATATAACATGTGTCACACTATTTGAAGTGCACCACACACGAATATTCGATGATTGCAAGAGGTTTGATTGGCCGCTTGAAAATATCTTGGGTTTTGATTGGTCGGTCTATATTTCGTCATGTCTTCTCATACTCCACTCACTCCCTACTTGAATCGACTGGACAATATATTCGAAATTCGTTATATATATATAATATATTGTCAAGTCGATTCGAATATCGAGTTGTATACTTATAAGAGTGTATATATATATATATATATACTTATGAGAATGTAGGTGCGTTTGGACTTGGACAGAGCAGGGAAGGTGGTGTCGGTCGATGTGTTGGTGGACGACTTGCATGCGATCACACCGTCGCAGTTTCTCGATATTGGCGGCGCCGTCGTGAACCCGCTATCGTTCCAGCAAGCTCGCAACCACGGCCTCCGTCCGAGTGCGCCATATGTTGCCGACCCAGGTACAACAACCTCCAAATTTCACGTTTTGGACGAGTTTGGTTGTGTGTTAGATATGATTGAATAGGAATTTCTTCACGTAAAAATTCAAGATCAAAGGACAAATAGATGATATATCATTTTTGGACAGTTTTACGGCTTTAGAAGAAGATTTAGATACAGGTCCATGTCGTTTAGTTTGTAAAACTACGAGTCCTTTTTTCAAAAGTCAACATACCCAATCAATCGTTCACAGTGGTGGCTTGATCTCCGGTGCACTCATTGGGTGGTGTGATTTGTCCATTACTTGAACGTGTTGATGGTACTGCGATACAGGGAACGATATACTAGTTGGCCAAAGTGGGTACTACCAACGTGTTGGAAAGTCTGTACCCGAGAAATCATCGGGTCATAACTTACTCTTCTTGTTATGTTTGGTTGAAATACAAACGATTCAATCGATATCGGTTCATCTTGTTCCAATTCATAGCCCCCTAGCCAGCTGTCGTTCGTCCTCCAAAACTATATCTATATATATATATATAGTCGTTTGAATTGATATATATATACATCAGGTCAATGGATGATGATGTTATGACTACTCGGTAGGGTACTTTTTGCAAAGATCTCGCATTCCCAAGGGTTCGTTGTTGTTGTCTGTGAATGGAATCGTTACCCCCGACTTGACTTCGCTCAAGAACGTGCTCATGCACTGCCACGACCAGCAAAAGGTTGTTGTCAAGTACATGAACGTGGCGACAAAGGTAGAAAAAGTCGAAGTTGTGCACGTGGACAAGCGGTGGTTTCCGTTTCAAGAGTACACTCGGGACGACTTGACGGGTACATGGAGCTGTGTCAACTTGGATATGCCGCCGCCAGTCAGCCACGTCCCGAAATCGGTGCCCAATGTCGTTGGATCGACGTCGATTCTCCCAGGCAAAAACTATATCGAAGGCACCCTCGCGCCGTCGCTTGTGACTGTCGAGTACGATCGACCGTTTAGCATCAACAGCCAAAACATGTCCAACTACCGCGGCACGGTACGCGGTAGTAATGTGGAGATCGATCGATCGATTGGGTGGAAAAACAAAGTGTCGCCTTTTACCCTCATTTTAGTCGATATTGACGTGTATTTGATTGGTCCCTTGATTTTTCATGTTTTTTGTGGATTTTGATTGGTCAATAATCGAGTGAGTAGTGGCTGTCGATTTGGTGCTGTAAAATGAACCTGTAATAGTTTATATTTTGTTCAAAAGATTGAAATTACCCAATCGTCCGTGTCTTCAATACAATCAGGGTGTACTGTAGAAGTGCCCCTTCCTTTGCCCATACTCTATTCAAGTGGAAATCCAATTCCAAAGCCACACACCCTCACTCTACGCACGTTATGAAATCTAGTAGAGGGTGATGATGCATTTTGTCTTGCAATTGCCATCGTACGAAAAACAAAAGTTATGGGGCCTCGAATCCATTCGAATATTGCCCAAATATATATATAAATGGACATAATACGTCGAATTTTGGCTGTTTTGTGACAGAAAAATAGTTTCAACTGCAGCTGTCGATTTTTTACTAGTACCATGTAGGTACTAGTATTCTCATTCGATCATAGCATCCAGAGGTCCGATCAAAATATTTTCCAAATATTATCTCACCTTCCATTTGAAAAGGGAATATGCTGTGTCCGAGTATTATTTGACAAAATAAATATTTTTTCTGTGGCATCCAGCCTCGGCCTAAATATCTTTGATATTTTTTTATGTAATTTTTCCACTACTTCTAGTGTCACATACACTCCCACGACGTGGGGATTGCACATACATTGTGTCGACGACATACATTCCCGCTCCAATAGAATCCAATATGTGTTTGTGTGGGGCTAACAATTTGTTGATCTCTTAGGGGTTGGTGGTGGATGCTGCCCAAGGTTTGGTCGTCGTGGACCGAAACACTGTCACAGACCGACTGGGGGACGTGACGGTTACCTTTGCCAACACACTGGTGGTCCCGGCCACGGTGCGCTTCGTGCACCCGGTGCACAACTTTGCAATTGTCCAGTACGACCCGCGCTTGATTGGGTCCACACCTATCCAAAGCGCGAAAATCTCGCGGTCACCTCTGCACCCATCCGAACCGGTGTGGCTCGTGGGTCTCATGAGTGGTGTACGTCGCTTCGTTGTTGTCATTTTACCCAAATCAATATATTGGACTTTGGTGCGGATTCGCCAAATATATCGATGGATTCTTCGTTTTGTACTGAATGTTGAATTGTGATTTGAGTGCTGGTTGAATCAACCGCCAAACAATCGCCAGACCTTTGAAATTTCGTATAAAACCAAGTTGAAGAGGATTCTTATTTGTGACTGCAATACTACATAATCAATCATTTTAGCCAATCAAATTGCAACCCCTTCATTCTTTGTAGCCAATCATACTCGTTTGCTCGATTTTTAGTTGGCGATTTCATCCATCGTCCAAAATAGGCAAATTTGATTACTGCAATGCACAATGTGTAAAGTAGAATTGTATTCCTGTGGAGTATGTCATGAATGCCACACACACACACACACTATTTAGCTGTGGATAAATATATATGGTTCAGGTGCTAATAATTAATGTGTTTTTGTGTTGTTTTTGATTGTGTATATATCTTTTTTGCAGGTTGGACGCAATAGTTGGGCTGAATTAGTGTCGCGCGAGACGTTGGTGTCGAGTGTCAAGTGGATTTCGCTGCCGATGCCCAATCCACCGCGGTACCAAGAGCATAATTTGGAGATGGTGCAGCTGCAGGATGTTGTGACGACCGAGGGCGGCGCCGTGTGCACCCCCGACGGACACGTGGCAGCGTTCTGGGCGTCGTTTTCGTTTCAACAGCAGCGCGGGTATGTACTGTATGTCGTCCATATTGTATGATGCGATGAAAATTGCTTTATTGTTTTCATATTACAACCATTGCATAGTGGCATGGCAGCGAATAGGTTTGGATCAATCGCATTTGTCTTGTGTGTTGATGAATATATATATATTCTACATGGCTGGCTACGGATGTGGTCGAGTTTGGGTACATGATAATATATTGGATTTGTACATTGTGTTTGGTTAAATGTAACAAAGTTTTCGCTGGTCATATATTGTCCTTGTCACAAAAATTTGGACTGTTCAAGCGTGAAACCGTTTTCGAATAAACGTGGCAATATATCTTGTATTCACTATAGTATAGTGAGTTCAATCTGCAACGGTGTTTTTTAGAAAACGTATTGATTGGCTGAACCATTCAGAAATCTTGTAAAGAATGGATTTTGATTGGCTAGTTCATTCTCTCACATCGATTTGCCAAGTCTATTCGATTCGATATTGTACTGGCGACTCCAATTACGAACCGACCCGACAATATAATCATGCAAAAGCAATATTGTCCATCGATCGATTTCTTGTTTTGTACTGAATTTTGTATGTAAAAAAGCGTCGCCGTCCTTTATACTATATAAAGACACCACACTACTTACTCCCTTCGAGTTTTTGATTGGCCACTTGAGTTTTTTGTCTTGGGATTTTGATTAGTACTCAATCGACTTTCAAAAAAGATTGACAATAATATATACGATCACTATAATATAATCCACTTTGTTTTTCTTTGTAGCAACGCCAAGGTGGAATCTCAGTTCACACGCGGGATCCCCATGGATATTATCATGGACAGCGTGGACCCGCTCGTGGACGGGGCGTCGGCGCCCCACTTGTACGACCTCGGCGTCGATTTCGAGCACATTAGCTTGGCCAAGGGCCGCGAACTGGGCATGGATGCAGGTATGGCGCATGCGCTGGAGATGCACGCCCCGGAGCGCCGGACGATTCTGTCGGTGGGGCGCCGGTGGGGCGGCACGGACGCGCAGTCCCAGCTTCGTAACGGGGACTTGATTGTCCAGATTGACGACGCCATCGTCACGTCGTTCCGTGAAGTTGAGGTAGGATGTGATATTGCATAGTCTGTGTTTCTGTCCAAATCCAGTAGGAGAGATTGCATTTTGGATGACCATTCTGCATTATTGTTCAGGGATGGTGCGTCTAATGTTGATTATTCGATGCGGTAAATGCTTGTTCGACTCCGTCGTGGTGGGGGCTATGATGCATCATCGCTCCAGTTTCGAATATAAACACAATTTTTGTATATATATATATGTGAAGAATGATATAGATATACATGTATATATATATATACTAGTATATGTAAAGAACTCTATTATATATATAAATGTAGTACAAGTATGTGAAGAACAATATATATGTATTCTTGTACGTGAAGAACAATCAATGTATACCAGTATATAAAGAAGAACAATATATATGTTGAAAAAATTGTGTTTTGGGATGCCAGGTGGCAACGCAAAAGCCGTTCGTGGTGGCGACTGTGATTCGCCAAGGCGAGCAGTTGCAAGTGCCGTTGAAGACGGTGCTGCTGGAAAGTTGGGAAGTGGATCGGATCGTGTGCTGGCAAGGGTTGCTCCTGCAAGTACCCCCGCTGTCGGTGGCGTCCCAGCGTGAAATCTCGTCCAAGGACGGCGTGTACGTGTCTTGTCGGTACGACCTCCTCCACGTTCGTCATGTGATACTGAGTTACCATGAATACAAACTATTGTCTATATGAAATCAGAACTAGCGAGCGTTAAGGGCGTAACGTTTTGACAAACAGCGCTTTTCGTTCACTTTGGACTGTCCTTGACTTTTTCGAAAAATAGCTACCATCTTATATCATTTGTGTGGACGAAGATTCGTTGATGGCATATATTATTGAATTGCAAATGTGGGATAACGTTTTATGCTGTAGGTATGCCGGGTCGCCGGCGGCCCGGTATGGCCCCCCGCCGACCTCTCGCATTTGTGAAATCAACGGCGACCCGATCCGCCACTTGGATGACTTTGTAGCGGCGTTGCAGCGGCAACCCAAGTCGAACGCGTCCATTCGAGTCAAGTACATGGACTTGAGCGGGAAAGTCCACCTCACGACGCTCAAGCTCGAACCCACGTTTTGGCCGACGAGCGAATTGAACTACGTCGACGGGGCATGGCACCGCACATGCATCGAATGAACACACCACGGGCGATAATAAACAATACTACGTAGACTAGTACTACATTCTCTTTAGACGATTAATTACAAGTGCACGAACGAATACGTGGCAAATAAATGCATGCGTGCACACGTCATGACTGAACAAATGGGGATTCTTGAATATCCTAGCCAATCAAAATGCACTCATGAGAGATAGTTCAGCCAATCATCGATCTATGGTTTGGCCTAGCTGATGTTCATATTAAACTTTAACCAATCGTCGATCCGCATAGTTTGCCCAGCGGTTTCTGTCTGTATATAAAAGCGACGATCAAGTAGGTAGGTAGGTACTCTACGTACAGTAGTACTACGTAGTAATCGTACGCTATTTATCAATTGTACTATTATTACTAGTATTACAGTATGTCCTATGACTATGAATACATACAGTACTATGAATAGTACTGTAGTATCATTATGTACAGTATACGTACAGTACTATTATTAGTACTACTGAAGTGTACAGTTCGAGACACTTGATTAATAATGCCAGGTCAGAATTATAAATCCAATCAGCATCATCCACGTCATATGCTGTGGCTTTAAGTTGGAAACACAACAACCAAGTGCCAACAACCCTGTCTAACTGTTAATACAACTAACTATATTCGTTCCAAACCCACCAGCTACAGTAGCTGATAGATACTATCATTCATTTACGACAAACTTAAATGAAAAACAATTCGGTCGTTTGCGTTTTGTGCCATGATCTTGACGACGGCTCTACCGGTATCTCGTGATACGGCGTCGAATCGTATGGGTAAGTAGGCTGGTGGGACGACAGGAACGACGCGTTCTGCGACGGGTTAGTCTTGCCTTCCACGCTCGTTTCTGACTCGCCCAACATGGTGAGCAGGTCCTGGTACCGGATCGTCGTGCCTTTTGTGTTAAACTGGAGGCGCACGAGGGTCGTAAACTTTTGTCGTGGGAACCGGAACCCAAACTGTTTGAGGATGGTCCGTAGGACGTCCATGTCGACGTACCCGTCACTGGCGTCGTCGTCGGACGCGTCCGCGTGGACGAGCGCCGCCGCGATATCCGCGACCGACTGGTTGGCCGCATGCAAGTACGTCCACACCTGGCGCACCATTTCGACCTTCATGTCCTCAACCTCGGCAAAGTGTTCAACAATCGCACTGAGCTTGTGGGCGTCGACGCGAAAGAGGCTGTTAATGACGGAAAACTCGCGCGTGATCTTGGGCGCGACCACGAACGTGTTGAGAAGCAGCGGTACGAGCACGACAGTGGCCTTGACCACCGCGTACGCATTGAACCCATCCAAGTACAGCACACAGTTGATAAAGAGTGCATAGTAGAACCCGTTGATGACAAACAGCAGCTGGACTAAAAAATGCACGAGTTTTCGCGAAAACCACGGCAGGTGCAGCGCGTCCACGCCTTGCAATTTGCTTTGTTTTGGGCGATTTGTGGTTCGACCGAGGCGACGGGAGAGCGTGCCGAGGAGCCCACACAGCAAGTCGTGTGCAAACAAGTGCTCGAGGCACCCATGACGATGACGAGACTGATGGGGGTGGTTGGCCTGGTCGTTGTCGCAGAGGTTGTCTGCAATGGTCCGCATGCAGTCGATAGCGTCTTGCGGTGGCATCGGCGGAATCGACGCCTCATAATGCACCACATGGCTCAGCACTTCAATCAAGGCGTCGGGGGTCGCCATGATGCGATACTGTTCCAGCCACGACGACGACGGACATTCCTTCTTCGCAGCATGCCGCAAGAGCAAATGCACCAAGTGCCGTAAGTACACGTACATCAGCACCATGAACAGCAACAACGACGACGCAAAGCATGCAAACACCCCCCATCGCACTGTCGAGTTGGCCTTAAACTCGCCGTGGGAGAAGAATTCGCCGCTAAAGATGAAGAAGAGCGCGTACGTGGCCATGAGTACCATCCACATGGAGATGTCAATATGAACCAAGTGCGCCATTTGGCTGTCCTGCACGTCTTCGATGTACTTGTCAAACGGAAATAGCTGCGGCAACTCGTACGAGCGTAGGAACAGGCTTCGCAGTAGCTTCATCTGCAGCTGGTACTCGTATTTGGACCAGATAATGCGCCGCTGTAGACGCGACAGGTGCCGCACGGCGTCCAGTTCTGTCCGAGCATTGGCCAACACGTTGTCGGTGCGCAGGATGGAGATCTTGCCCATCTCGCGGTTGGTCTTGCGCAGCATGAAGAGGATCACCGTGGCCTGGACCACCATCGATAACACCGTGAAAAGGATGATCAAGTCGGCAAAGTCCACTGCTTGGTACACCATCCCATTCGCCTTGGCGAGACCTGTGGACACACACAACTTGACTATCAGGTAGATCAGCCCCACGATCATGAGCTCCTGCGTCGTCTTGTGTAGCATGTCGGCATACTTGGGCTTTCGCTTCGTGATGTGCTCCAAGAAATGCAGGAACATCTCGAGGCAGATCACAAACACGAGCACGGCAAACATGAACAGCAGCACGCGCGACGTCTCGACATGGCCATAGATGTTGCCACCACCAGCAGGAGCCGCTGCTTCAGCCAAGAGCCGCTGGGATTCTGCTTGGTTCATGCTGCGACTGGTCCAGAGGTGTGAACCAGCCACGGTGTATCGTCGATCGCAACGATTGGATTTTGAAGTGTGAACGGCATAAATTTCAGATCCATCTGGCGTTCCGTGAAAACACGCCATGTGCTGTCGGTTACTGTACCGCGGTTACCGCGAAATTATTTTACTATTAATAGTACTTAAAGTACTACTGTATTAATACGTTGTACTATTAATAGTAGTTATTTGCCTGACTAATTGCTTTAGTCGAATCAGTGGTGGTGGTATTGTCCTTCTCACGCAAATTTAGACTGGTCAAAAGTGAAACCGTTTTTGAATGAACTTACTGTAGCAATATACAGTATATTGTATTCACTATGGTACAGTGAGTCTGCAATGTTTTTTTTAGAAAACGCATTGATTGGCTAAACCAATCAGAAATTTTGTTTTTGATTGGCTAGTCCATTCTCAAATCGATTTGCCAAGTCTATTTGATTCTACTTGCGACTCCAATTACGAATCGACTTGACAATATCCGACTCAAGATATATTACTAGTACACTGGTGTATTACGAATACGTATATGTAGTACTAGTAGAGTAATACGTAGTATGTAGTACTAGTAGAGAATAACGTAGTATGTAGTACTTACTAAAAAGACAAGGGGTCGGGGGGGATTGTACCCACCCGGTTACGGGCTGCTGGTACGACAGAATGTGGCTAGGTCAAAACAGGGAGACAACTTTTCTTTGTAGGCAGAACCGGCTCTCTGGTTCTTCATTGTAGAGGCAGCTTTAGCACAACTCGCGCTAAAACGGAAACACAAGTTGTGCTGACGTTAACGATACTTGTGTTCTACTAGGAAACTCAACTGACTTGCACAGTTGGAGCGCACAAGGACTGTAGCTTCCGTCCACACTGGCAATGAAAATTCAAAGTTGTGCGATGAAAAATCAAAAAGTCGTGCATGTCATTTATTACAGTGAAATGTTTCACAACTTCGAATCATAACGCCTTTTCTTCACAGCAAGTTGCCGACGCTCACTACTGCATTCATCGTAATCGCCTCGGCGTCATCGTCGGCAATCTGTTGAGCCTTGATAGCATCAAGCGGTGAAAAGTAAGAATTGGAAGGTTCGAACTCAGTTCCAATTGCAATGACTGGTACAGTAAGTACCCTTACAGTTAGTTTCCACGCTTTAGACCTACGGGCACACCAGTACCAGGTATACGTTGAGTGAGCATTGCGCAGCTGACTGTAAGTCTGTTCTAAGGGTGCTAGATATTGGAGGGAGCTTGTCATATGGACAAAAAGCCTGTTGAAAAAGTCAAGTCGTGAGAAGGGTTAGGGTGACTTTTTCGGTTATGGAAATCATCGGAATATGATGGGCAGCGAAATCACGAAATACCTAAAACGGCCCTATGGCCCAACCACCGATGGCATGAAGCCGACGCGAATCAGGATGTATTACTGCGAGTAGCTACTACATGGGACTACTGTAAACCTTGAACGATTGCTCCAGGCATTATGACCTGGAACAGTCGTGTGAATTGTATGTACTCCATGCTATCATAGCAACTTTGCCAGCTTGTGGTGTAGGCTGAGTGTGTCAGCCTAAGCCGCCAAAGTTCCACGTATATTGTGCGTGGGTCGTGTTTCGTGCTGCTTCTATAAGACATCTTCTAGACAGTAGCCGAGATATATGTACTGCCTACATATAGAATGAACCATACTTGCGGTGCTAAGTGATGGCTGAATGCGCAAGGAGATCGATCACGTACATACCCGTGGACCCAGTGAGCAGTGTGTGTGAGGTGGCAATTTATCCAATTGGAAGGTGATAGTTGAACAGGGGCCATGTTGCCTCGACTGATGTACTAACTAGCCTTGCTTTGCAGGTACCTTATTCACAACTAACACAGTGATAAAGAGAGGAGCTGATGCAGTATACTACCGGTAGAGGATTTGCCCGTCGTTGTTGCTCGCATCAATGATGTGCAAATCCATTTCTGTTTGTAAGGCAAGACAAGCATTCTAGAATCCTGAACCATGCCAGCAGTTGAGCTAGCAATTTGACGTAGACCTGTGATACACCCCTTATGATATCTATTCCTTTGTACTACGTAGTACTAGTACTGTGTATGCGTTATGTGTGTGCAATCTGACTTTGCGTGAAAGCTAACTGTAAGAAGTAAAACGTACACTGTGTGTGGAGCTCAACGACAAGTTATTCGTGTAAACGTTAGCAATTGGGTCAGAGTGGCGGTGAATCCACACCTGAAAGTAGAGGTTTCAGCCACTATGCGCGAATTGCGCACAACGTTAGTGCATGTAAGTCGCTACAGCTGTATCGATTGCAACCCACCCCTAACGTTACATCGTTTATACCCCCCACAGTCTTATGTCCCCTCCACAACGATTCTGCTTGTGGCTTATCTACGTGTAAAAGCACACAACCACCATTTACGAGGTTACAACTTGCATTCACGACATCATGACGAGGTTATAGTGTATACAAATTGCCAGAATAGTAGCGACTACAACCCCTGCACCTCCATAGTCTTACATATCCTCCCAGCACCTCCACAGCCCTTATGTATCCCCCCTTCCCCTCGCAATATTTGATCCCCAGTACACTACGCACGTTTACTTCGGGTCACCAGACCCCCGCCCTACCCACTCTCACGACTTGACTTTTTCAACAGGCTTTTTGGCCACTATATGCTGTCAACAAAATCGCGGCGCCAAATGCTGCCTACGCCTAAGTTAGGTTTCGCAGTTCCTACTACAGCAGTGTCTACATGCAATGGTCACGGGATTCTACGTCACTATACATGAAGATGAAGGTAACATTAGTCATTAACTCGTTCGCTCCCATCGCGCCTATGATTAACTTCGACGGGGCCATCCTCCTCGCTCCAAGTATTTGCCGACAAAAAAGCGCTGTACAGTCCACAGACTTGAATAATTTGAATGATTCACCGAAAAAATCTAGATATGAGGATGTAGGCAGTCAAGGCATGCACATCGAATGTGCAGCGGCTCTTGGCCGAAGCAGCGGCTGCTGCTGGTGGCAACAGCAACGTCTATGACTAGGTCGAGACGTCGCGCATGCTGCTGTTCATGTTTGCCGTGCTCGTGTTTGATCTGCCTCGAGATGTTTGTGCGTTTCATGGAGCACGCCACCACGCGAAAGACCAAGTATGCCGACATGCTACACAAGACGACGCAGGAGCTTATGATCGTGGGGCTGATCTACCTGCTGGTCAAGTTGTGTGTGTTCACAGGTCTCGTCAAGGGGAATGGATTATCCTCAAGAAGTTTGGGTTCCGATTCGAACGATAGAAAAGTTTATGACCCTCGTGCGCCTCCAGTTTGACACGAAAGGTACGACAATCCGTGCCAGGACCTGCTCACGTTGTTGGGCGCTTGGGCATCGAGTAGGAACGACTCTGACTCTGCTCCAGGCGGACAAGCCGATGCCGTCGGCTGCGCTGCGGACTCCGACTCAGATCAACGATTGGCGAACGAACCGCCGTGTCTGGTGACCAAAATGCAAATGACGTCCACGACCCACGAACCCTTTGCTGCCTAATGTTCATTGAATTTGGCAGATCTATCGTGTTTTGCCACGAGTATTGTGAAGCCAACTCCCAGTAGCTGCACCACTCGATTGCATCGACTACAGAGTACCGGACCGGTATGCTCGATTGAAGCGACGACCTGTTACGTAGTATTCGAGTAAAGTAGACATACTTCAAAGGGAAGAGAGCCATGGGAGACCAATCTTAAGAGGGCCATGCTACTGCTGTAGTGCGAGCAACTGTCCAACGGCGGTGGCGTGGCGGTGTGTTGTATTGCTTGGATTCATGTTGGAAGATAACAAAACATGCAAATGTCATCCGGATAATCAACCGGCACTCGTATTTGAATTTGGTAGGTGTGGTTGAACGATGGAAGACCCCACGGTTGAGGAGTCGACGCGCAAGTCGCTGCTCATTCCGGTGCATAAGAGCGATGAGATCGTCGAGCTGTTCACGGACGAATTCCCCGACGATGCAAACGACATCATGGACATTCTCCGAGCTGAAATCGCGCCGCTGGAGGTGTGGCTGAGCGTCGCGATCGAATACTACCTCCAGGGGCGCACGGATCAATTCGAAGTGATCTTAGATCAAGCGACGATGCCAGAAGCCGAGGAGATCTATAACGACGATGCCGCACGGAAGAGTCGACTAAAGATGTTCAACGCGTGGGTGTCGCATTATGTGAACGTCATGTGGAACGAAGACGACGAGCGGCGCCGCGAGATTCCCGCTCAAAAGGCGGTCGCGTTGTTCCAAAAGGCCGATCGCATCGATGCGCAGTGCCCCAACACGTTAGTTGGGAAGGCACTCATGTTCATGGCGAAGGGGGAGGACGAGCGCGCCGAGCGTTTCCTCAAGAACGTGCTGATCGCGGACAAGGAGAACCTACCCGCCATCCTCGCGTCGGCGCTGCTGCATGTTCGCAAAAAGAAGTTTGTCGAAGCCAAGAAACTTTACCAGGAAGCGATCGTGCTGCACCCGAAGAGCCCTCAAGCGAGCCGCATCCGCATGTGTTTTGCCTACTGCTGCTACCAAATGGGCTGCGTGGACAAGGCCAAGGCCGTGATGAAGTACGCCGCCGCGCTCGACGACAGTAACGTCACGGTCATGATGGCGAACGCGCTGTGGTCCCTCGCGTCGTTGCCCGCCGACGACCGCCTCCGCTCCATGCAAGACGAAGGTAAGCGTGAATCGATCGATCGAGTGTTGTTGTATCCTGGAGTTTGTATGGACCCCAACTTTGACCTTGGGTTCTTTGAACGGCATTTTGCATGTCGAGAATGTATTGTCCTGCGGTGATGCTGCCAATCACACTAATTAACGTCATACACTAAATGGTGCTTTCCTACAATCATCTGATTGGCTCAATTATTCTTTGGTCGAGTGTGTTTAATTGGTCGAGTCGATTCACTCCTTCTCCATGTTGCCCCAGTTTAGAAGAATACTCGCAACAACAACATATATATATATATATATCTTGCCGTGGTTACATTTTACGCTTAATACACTAAGTATTCGTCCTACACCAATTCCTTGTTGATCTATAGCGTTGCTTTCATCATATCCACTGCATGGTCCGGCCCTTCTCATATACGCATATGTTATATGTCCATAGGCTCTCGCTTCATGGCGCTAGTCCATCACGCGCACGCATTGGATCCGAAGCACCCGTCAGTTCTAAATCACTTGGCCAACCACTACTTTTTGCAGTGGATTCCGCTGCCGGGCACCGTGTCCGTGGTCCGGGGGTCGGCTATCGCCACAACCACCCACGACATCTCAAACGACGTCGTCCACGGCCAGCTAATTTGCATCGGGGACAAATACATTGCGTATGTTCAAGACGTGTCATCTCGAAGCATCACGCTGGACGTTCCTTTCAAGGAAGTATCTCGGTCAGGGCTGTCGATCAGTCGCAAATTGTACGACCAAATGAACACTCTCGCATCGAATGCGTACCATGCGACTCAAGTCAAGGTATATATATATATATATTGTCTTTTTACCCAAAATTTTTAGATTTTTTTAATATTATCTTTTTACCCATAATTTTTAGACTTTTGTGATGATTCGCCCAAATCTATCTCGATCGATTCTTTGAACGGACAACGTTGTCCTGTGGGGATTGGATATCACACTAATTGAAGTCATCACACACTAATTACATGTTGATCCTGGTTTCCTGCAATCGCTACATCGTCGTTTTCTGCCGATGATTCTTGTGTACATGATTTTTATGGTTGTGATTCATTCATTCTCCATGTCACACTCCAGTTTAGAAGAAACCATATGCATGTAGGAACTGCGCGCAGAAAGTTGCTACTTGATAGCGCGCGGCCACCACGCCGAAGGCAAGTACCAGGAAGCATTTGGGTATTATTACAATGCTGCGCGCAGCATGCCGTCGTACGCGATGCCATGGTACGGCCTCGCACAAATGTATTACCACCAGAACGTGCTGGAAAAGGCGGTTGTGTACTTGGAGAAGACGCTCAAGCTGTTCCCAGACAACACGGACGTGCTGCTGTTCCTCGGGCATGTGTACCGTCGGTTGGGCCGCAAAGCGGACGCAATCGCCAACTTTCGACGGGTAGCCGACCTCGACCCGGGCAACGTGGACGCGCTGATCGGGACCGCCGAGATCTTGCACGTGTCCACGGAGAGACATGAACAACTGGCGGCAATTTCCGCATATGTAGCGGCACAGCGCGTGCTTCAAAACGCCATGGAACCCGTGCCCGACGGCCTGCACACGAATTTTGGGTCGCTACATATGCGAGTGGGGCAGATTCACGAAGCGATCGAGTGCTACGGGTTGGCCCTCAACCAGAAAACAACGATCGCCGCCATATTTGAGGTCCCCGCTGTCACAGAAGCCAACGTGACGGTGCTGTACAACTTGGCGCTTGCGTACGAAAAGCTGGGCGAGTGGCGCGCGAGCACTGGGATTTACAAAGCGATTCTCGAGACATTTCCGTGGTATTTGGATGCGTTGCTGCGGCTGGCCGTGCTCGAGCGCGACGTCGGCAACGCCGACAAGGCCACGACGCTGCTCGACCAGGCGCTGGCCCAAGACCCGACGTGTGCCACGGCGTGTTTGCTGCAGGCCAATATGCATTTTGCCAAGCGCGAGTGGAGTCTCGCACAGAAAAAGTACGAGGCGGTGCTCGGGATGAAGCAGCCGGATGGCGGCATGGCGATGAAGAACGACCCGTACACGTTTCTGAGTATGGGCAATATTTTCATGAGCAACATTGGCGAAAAGGGCCGCTATGTCAAGAATATGACGCTGAGCGAGACGTACTACAAGAAAACCCTGAGTGGCCATGCGCAAAACGTGTATGCGGCCAACGGGATTGGCATCATGTTGGCGGAGAAGGGCCAGTTTGACAAGGCCAAGCTCGTGTTTGCGCAGGTGCGCGAAGCCGCGCCAGACATGCCAGACGCATGGATCAACCTCGGACACATCCACATGGCCGAGCATCGGTTTGGCGAAGCGATCCAGCTGTACCAGGTTTCGCTCGCCAAGCACTACAAGGGGCAGGACGTGTCTGTGCTCCTGTACTTGGCCAAGGCGTACTATGAAGCCAAGCGGTACAGCGAATGCATCACGGCGCTGACAAAAGGCATCCACATGGCCCCGCAAGAACTCAAGCTCTGGTACAACTTGGCGTTGGCGCAAGAGGATTTCGCGGTCGCGACGCTCGGCGAAACGTCGGCGTCGGTGGCCAAGTCGAGCCGCACGATGGCGGACGTCCAGCGCGCGATCAGCGACCTCCAGCGCGCCCAGCGCATCTACGCGTTCTTGGACGTGGCCGTGCCGGCGGAAACCTCGTCCAAGAAAGCGCACCAGATCGAAATGGACAAGGTGCGCGACCACGCCAAGTTTTGCCACGAAACGCTGGAAAAGGCCAGTGTCCATTTGGAATTTGAACGGCAGCGCGAAGAAAAGCGCAAGGCAGACGCGGAAAACCGCCGCCGCATGGTGATGATGCTCGAAGACGAACAGCAAGCGCAGCTGGTGGCGCAAAAGGAACGCGAGGCCGCGCTCGAACTCAAGCGCGCGCAGATGCTCAAGGCGACCCAGGAACGATTGAAGGCGGCTAGCGAGGCTTGGAAACAAAAGGAAGCGGATACTGCGTCCAAAACGGCCAAGAAATCGAGCAAGAAGCGCAAGGCAGATGTGTCGGACGACGAAGATGACGAAGATGATGTTGTTGGCGCGATCCCGGACGCGGCGGCGGCAGCATCATCGCCCCCACCGGCAAAGAAACCAAAAGCCACCGACGACTTGTTTGGTTCCGAGTCGGAGCACGAAGACGACGAACGAGAGACAATTCACGGCACAAATGTATCGCCACCCCGGGAAATGGACGACAAGCAGCACGCGGAGTTGTTTGGATCGGATTCGGACGATGATTAAAAAAAAGTGTGATGTAGCAAGTGTTTGGACGAGGGTGCGCCGGCGGATTATAAAAAAATAATATATATCGAGGTGCCACCATCACCAAAGTACATATAATAGTAACGTTATAATCGATAGTACTAGATCGGGACCTGAAAGACTACTATTAATAGTTTTTAGAATGACAGGAGGGATACTAGTAAGTAGTACATACTAGTAACGTTATAATCGATACTGCATCGGGCGGGACCTGAAAGACTACTAACGTTAGTATTTAGAATGACAGGAACGATGCTATTAATAGTAAGTACATACTAGTATGTAAACTACAGTAGTAACGTTATAATTCGGGGACCTGAAATACTACTAACGTCAGTATTTAGAATGACAGGAGGGATACTAGTAAGTACTAGTTAGTACCTATCTGAGCACGTTAGATAAGTCGTGGCCTGCCAAAAAGAGTGAACGGGACTGAGAAGGTGGTGGCGATCTGTGGATATCGCATCAATGAGCATCCGCAATGTTAACGTTGAGGTGTACGTAGTAACGATCGTACGTCAATTGCATATTGTCAATCACGTTAGAACAAAGCCATAACTGTTAGTCAAGGCATTCATTCAGAAGCGAATGGTAATGCTAATGCAGTTTAAATGACGCCGATGGTATGTATTCATTCCATACCAGATCCTAGTGTATTATCTTTGTGACATCACTATCACCATACTAGCGATTGAAACTCACTTATTATATACAGTAATAGTTCATCAAAGCACTTTGGCGCAGAGGAAGCGTGTTGGGCTCATAACCCAAAGGTCCCTGGATCGAAACCAGGAAGTGCTATTTCTTTTTACAGGAAGTCGCCATACATGCTCCCTTTTGTTGGCCGCCTCACCACAAGAACGTTTCTCACCATGTGTGATGAGTGAGAATACATCAACCAACATCCCTTCATGTACAGGAGTCATACTCTTCACACCTTTCACAGCATGCAGCACTCCCCAAGGCCGAATACATACTTCGTTCCTTCAAGCCTGGCGAACGATATGACGAACAAAGGGTTGAAGTGTCATTGTTTTCGCGCGACATTCCCATGTGTTTAGCCTTGTGATTGGTTGGGAAAAGTGTCATTTCACGCCCGGGAGTTTGCTGTTGTAGCTACCTACGAGCGATGGCGTGCGGATAACCAAGACCGTACTTGAACAGGATCATTTCTATAGTGCAGTCATCTTTACTTTGTTTTCCAAAGTAGACGATACCAATAACTTTGAGGATCGGAAGTGACCCCCTCCGTTGACTCGGGATGTCGGCGCACGTGCTGTGGACGCAAGTCCGGGTCGTGGCTGTTGATGAACGTCCACTGTTGCTATTCCAAGACAGTGTGAGCGGAGGTGGGTGTTATGAGAAGTTATTGGTATCGATTTATTCGTTTTTTCCCCGTGCTTACTGTTAATTCATGCTACTGCACACACACACACTCCCAAACCAATATTTACTCGCACGCTGAGCGACCTTGCACACAGAATCACAACTACTCCTAACGCTACAGTATGTATTCTACTAGTACTCCAGTAAGGAGTTGATCGTGCCCGAGTGTGACACAGCCAGGGAGCCTGGAGCGAAATTGAACCCAGACTGCATGACGAGGGTACGGGCGGCAATACTTTTCACGTATATACCCCCATCATTCCCCGATTTCGACACCGCCTGCTAATAAACGGGTTTCAGAATGGTTTAGTTGTGGTGGGCGTATGAAGTGCATCCCGCTGCACCTTGGTCGACTCGACGTCGGCGAAAGTGTCTTCCTGGTACGAGGTCCCCTCAGGGCTTTTAACACGATCACTCGCTAAAAGTGAAGTTGAGTACAGTACTGTACCTACCTTGCATGACGAGTCCAGTAGGAGACGTGTCAACCCAAGCGTAGTACTTCCCCAGTGCATGTTTATCTTCAGCGCTAAGTTAGCAAACGATATCAAACCAAGTTGTTACAACATGCACATCGCCAAATCACCGAACAGGTGCTATGAATCAAGTGTCGTCGATGTGCGAATCTTGCTTTTGCCATCCGGTGAACGCTAGAGTTAGACCCCGGCGAACGCTATGTAGCTGCAAGGCCAGTGGCAGACAACGGCCACACCGATGGATGCGACATCCCCATCCAGGGCGACTTGTTGTTTCAAGGCCACACAAGCCGACACTTTCCGTACTGCATGCATTGAAGGGTGGCACTTGCCGGTGTTGAAAGGTGGACTGATCTCGTACTTGTAACGCGGCTAGAAATACTGTAGTTGGTTATGCTACCTCGTGCCAGCGAATTTTCAGCTGCCACTTGCGGCCAAACGAAGTAAGTATGCAATTTTGCTCCACGATCGTCAGTCGTCGTCCTAAAATGAATACTCTACATTAATATGTATGTGGAACGCTCGACCTTGGAAACTACTCGGTGTCGTGAAAGAATGCGCAAAGAACCCTGTGTATACCGTAGCCCCATGAGTACGACCTAAATCGGAACGTCGATCTCAATGAGATGGCTCCGGTATTTCTTGGGTGTCGCGTGTTGTGGAGATTCAGTAGAGCCGGCGAATGTCGATTTGGTTGGCAATAAATACCCTTCCACAGTGCCATCCGTGGCGGGGCCGCCACCGGCCTCCAACGACATGTGGCTGAAAGTTTCCTTGATTTTGATTGCAACTTCACAGTCATTACGTACATGGGTGGGTGTATAAATGAAGCAAAACCAAAATGTGTTCCCGTCGGAAAAGTTCCTCACACATCATGCGTCAACTCGCTCCCTTTCGTCATTTACATCACCACCACCGACTACCAGTAGAGATGGAAACAAGTCACTTAATACAATGGTGAAATTTGCTCGGAAATCAATTTACACGAATTTCCCCTGGTATAACTAGGATTTGATTTGTAACTCAGATTTGCAGGTTCAAAACACTAGGAGATTTCGCTACAGGATTTGACCAATCGAATGCGTCCCACGGTTCGTACATCCGACCAATATCGGAGCTAGGATGATCAGAGTTTGGTTGTGCGAGGGGGCATACAGTACAAAAGTCGCAATATTGGGCTGATCGACGTCCTGTCGTCGTAGAGGCTTCCCTTTGAAGCATCAACAGGCATGCATAACTCCATTACATGTGCATGCTATGTCCGCCGATCTAAATGGACAGCAGTGTGACGTAATAATGGTGATGCCATTGAGAATAATGCAATCATATATCATGCATTTTGCATCCGTTTCAAAATGCGCAATTCGATCCGTAGGATCGAAATTCGGATTGGAGTCCTAATTAGGACCTTGATTTCATATTCGAAGTTTCGGGTTTTGGGGAATTCCAACTAGACTGGTTTGGATTGGTGAATTGGCAGTATTTATAGCCAATCATCAATTCGAATTATTTTAGCCAATCCATGGTCTCCATCAACCTATCGCAATTGTATGGGAGTTTGGGGCAGTGGCGCCCACGAATTTCGGTTCATTTAGGATCCAACACGATGAGCGGGAGGAAACGGAATGAAGCGCGCATGGAGCTTCAGGAACTCCAGATGGACCTAAAGGAGAACCTGGCTGACGTCGACGAGGTGGCATCGGCGACCCCGGAGAAGGGTCGACGAGGGCGGCGCAAGAGCGCAAAGTACGAGGCCGTGGCGTACAGCAAGGACGACGAAGTGTCCGACGACGATGGCGACGGAGCCGCGGAAAAGGAGACGCGCCGCAAGACGATGGCGCGAGAGATGAACACGATCCGCAAGGAATTCACGCTGGAAGTGATCTTGGGTCGACGCATCCACCCGAAGACGGGGTCGTTCGAGTACCTGTGCAAGTTCGAAGCCTTGTCACACCTGCACATGCGATGGTTAACGTACGAAGAAGTCGAGCTGTTTTTTCCCGCAGGTCACATCAAGCGTAACAAGGTCCAAGCGTACGACAAGAAGTGTCTGCAGGGTGGATACACAGACACGGACGAAGTCGACGACCTCGACATTGGCAACGCCACCGTCGAAACGATCTTGAGCCACCAAGCCGGCGTGTCCAACGAAAGCTTGGACAAGAAGCTCGACGACCGACGACTCAACGTCCCGTACGCTCGCAAGTACCCGCGCGTCACAGACATCTACCTCGTCCAACACCACGACGCTGTCATGGAGCGATGTCGCGGCATCCTGCGGCGCCTGATGGCTGAGCCCAGCGCAGAACCATTCTTGCACCCCGTCAATCTATCGTACGTATAGCCTGTACCCTATGCCTTCGTGATATGCCGCGTATCCCACGAAGCAACATGCCTGTACTTTCTCCCCCGCCCTCAGTATGCCTAACACACTGTGTATATAGGGACGCACCAGGCTATTTGGATGTGATTTACAACCCCATTGATTTCGGCACCATCCTCGGCCGCTTGAAAAAGGAAGTGTATTATTCCGGTACAGTTCCATATGAGTATTATATCATCCAAAGTTGTATAAATATCATCATTACAAGGTGTGTCCACTTGTGCTGACTCACGAAATGTATCGATCGATTCTTTGTATATAAAGATCGTGTCACACTAATTTCAGTCATACACTAATTCGATGTGGAATCGTCAAAAGCATGGATTTGATTGGCTTGTTGATTCGTGGTTTTGGGTTTTCATTGGTCGATGATCGAGTGCCTGCTTGCTTCTTCGCTCCAACACACTTGAATGTTTCCAAGATCGTCGACTTGACAATATATATATATATATATTGTGGTATATTCGATACGAATTTCCAGACCTCGTCGAATCGATTGATCTCGCCGCCGAATCGAATCACGAATCATCGACGCTATTGGCTAATATTCAATTTGAGTGGATTATTTGATTGGCTCTTGCAGCAAGGACAAGTATATATTCAACCAATCAAAACTCGAGTGTGATTCAATATGGACAAAACCAGGCGACTTTTGCACGTTTATATTCACAATATTTGTTTCATTTTAGGGCCAATCGCCGTCGCGTTGTTTGCATCGGACATGCGCTTGGTGTTTGCCAATTGCAAAGAATTCAACGCGGAAGGGTCCGATATTGTCGTGACCGCCGACCATTTGGCCAAAGACTTTGAGAAGATGTTTTACGAGTGGGTCATATGTCCATCGGCGTGGAAGTTGCTGCCGTCCACGGGCGACGCCGCGGAAGACGCCGACATTCTCGCGCAGTTCCACTCGGAGATGGAGGCTTCGGTAGCCACGTGGCAGCCGTGGGAGGCAGGGTGCTCGACCTGCCAGCGCAACGACCAGCTCGAACACATGCTCCTGTGTGATCGATGCGATAACGAGCTGCATGTGCACTGCTTGGACCCGCCGCTGGACGGCGCGCCCGATGACGAGTGGTACTGTCCATTTTGCGAGCTCCGGACCTCGTACGAAGCCATGTGTCTGCCAAAAACCACATCTGATGAAGGCCAAGATGGCGGCGGGATCGACACGCTGTCACAACAAACCCCCCATCACCACCACGGACACGGAGGAGTGACCCCGACCTTTCCCCTCGTCTTGTCGACCCCTGGTGCCCGCGGAGACACGAAATTTCTACTCGACGCAGACGTGCGGACGACAGAGTCGCGGCGGCAGTCGCTCCGCCTCTTTGGCAACCACACCATGTTCCTTGTGCAGTGGAAAGGGCTGTCGATTCGATGCTCGACGTGGGAGCGCGCCGAGGACATTGGCGACGACGACGCGATCGTGCGGTACTTCAAAACCACCAAAGTGCCCACAGACAAGGAGATCGCCCAAACAACGTGCCAATTGCCATGTTGTGCCAAGGCAAACAATGGCAAGAACCAACAACAGCGTCCTCCCTCGGATGGCACTATCCTGGCCAGTCGTTGCGCGTTGGATCGGTTTTGTACGCTGGGCGCCGGCCACGACGGCATGTGTGACCGCGCGTCGACGGCGCTCACGAGCTCAGCGGCAGCGGCGGTCGTGGGCACGCCCGCATATACGCATCAAAAACATATCGAGCAGATCCGCGCCCAACTGTTTGCGTTTCACTGTTTGCTGCATCATCACGCGCCTGATATTCGAGTGCTCAAGCAGTGCGGCGCGGCCACGGTCGCATATGCATGGGCGAAAGAATTGGGGCAAAAGGGAGCGAGTAGTACCAAACAATCGAAAGACGAGGACCAGGATTACTCGGAAGGAGAGGACGAAAGCAGCGACGACGACGACGAAGACGACGACGACGACGATGATGATATCATGCCTCAAGTGCACATGCCAGCATACTCGCAGCTGTTTTTGGAGCCCGAACATCACAATCCCCCATCTTGTTCCAAGGCTTTGACCGATGACTCGGATCGATCCCGCAAGCTCGTGGCGTTGCCGCCAGCCACCCAAGTGGCGTCCGTGCTAGCGGCTATGGTGGAACACGTGGCACTTGGCTACGAAGCGACATTGGTGCGCGTCCCCCCCAAGGTGAAGAAACCGCCCCCGGTCCCCCAAGTGGACATGACGTCGTGGAGCCACTTCCACATGGACACGTTTGGCCCACACCTTCGGTACACAGAGTACTATGTGGCGATTCAAAAGAGCGTGCACGGACTGGGCATGCGGCTGGGCTTGTCGGACGACGGCGTCGCGAGGGTCATGGGGTTCCAGCGGCTGCAAAACGGCCAGGTGGGCGCGGCCGAGCTCACGGGCGTGATCGCACCAGGCGATGTGTTGGTAGGTATCAACAACACCCCCACGGCGCGCATCGTGTTCAAACAAGTGGTGGAAATGATCGGCGCATCCAAGGACTACGTGCTCTTTACATTTCACACGACGAGGCCGGCGCCGTTGTTTCCCCCAGCGTGCGTTGCCAAAACCATCGAGCGGCGGTACCTCCCCGTCCAAGCCAATACCGATACCGATGTCGACGATGAGCCGGACGCGGCACCACCCTCAGTGTATATTCCATACTCGTACGAGACATTCGAGTCGACGTTATCCGTGCAGTCGCGACGCCAAAAGGTATTCACGGCGCTGGAAAACTACGCCGCGCCCACGGGCCCCGTGCAGCATGTGCTCGCGGGTATTATGAAGGGCACGCTGGACCCACACGAACATTTTGCGAGCTTTTTGCCCGTCAAGAAGACTTCGACTTTGTCGAATGTCGTGGTGGTAAGCAAGAATCCCACCGAGTTTGTCCCGTATGAGCAGTCGCCTACGTTCAAAGGTAAAAGTTCAAACTACTTTATTTTTAAAATTATATATATTATTGTGCTTTCGAGTGACATTTCATTGTGTTGTGGTTTCTCGTTGGAATTTATAAATCGATTTGATTGGCTACTTCAGATTACCTCAAAATTATTAGCCAATCAAAACCTTCTCAATGAAATTCAACAACCAATCAGATCGATTGTGGATCGGTTTGGTCGGCGCGAAATTCGATTGCACCCCAAATATTTGTATATCAAATCGACAATATATCAAACACCGTATTCGAACCTATACATACCATCTAATATATATATATATATATATATATAGGCGGCCGCACACTCCGACAGTACCAAGTGGATGGACTCAACTGGATGATTTCGTGCTGGAAAGCCAAACGCTCGTGTTTGCTTGCGGATGAAATGGGGCTGGGGAAAACTGTCCAAGTTGTTTCGTTTCTTGAACATCTTCGGACTGAAGAAGACATTCGAGGTCCGTACTTGGTCGTGGTGCCGCTGTCCACGCTCCAGCATTGGCGACGAGAGGTACTGTTTATTATCACACATTATTTATAATATTTCACCAATAATTTCTCGATTGATTACTCATTCCTTGACCGTTGGACTGTCATAATGTGGTTTTCTAGTGATGGTCATATAATCGTAATTAGAAGGCATACACGAGTGGTGGAGTTAGTTGGTGTCGACGACGACTGGATGAGTTAATTTCTGGAAAATCGGATTTGGCTCTAGATTCTCGTGCCGATTCTTCATGTATCAATATTTTTGATTGCGTTTCGATATATTTTATTGGAATTTGTACACTAGAAGATGATTCGTACACTGGTGGAGTTGTATATATATGTTGTACTTTTCAGATGAATTACACGAGCGATTTTTGCATTCGATTTGAAATCAATGGAATAATGTTGGTTTTGAATGGCTGCTCGAGTACAGGGAGATACAACAACGTCTGTTGAGTTTTGGGGACTTTAATCAATGGAGCCTAGTACGCTTATGTGATGGATGCAAGAGTTGATATAACGAGGGGTTTTAGTATATATATACATGAAAGTATACATAAAAGTATGTATATATATATATATATATACATAAAAGTATACATATATACATGACTGCTTGTTGAAAGTGGTATCGTCGGCAGTGTGGTTCGATATGTTCCATTTCGGTTGAAATTTGGACTTGACACAGTTGATTCGAGAATCGATTGGTGTGAGATTTTCAGCTGATAGATATATATTCAATGTATAATTGTATTCAAAATTAATGCTGTACGTTTTCGGTGGGGCCAAATCCTGCGACGATCGTTGATTGGTTGTTCATTTATCTCCACCGTGGACTTTGATTGGCTAGGACATTCTCAAAACCCTTTGCCTGTTTATTCATTCGAGTATGTCTACTACTAACTACTAGTACGCAAAGTCCATCTTGGCACGGATTGTTTGGACACGATCAAACTCCTCGTCTATATATATAAATAAATATATATTCACGACGTGTTGAGTAATATCAAACTCCTCGTGTATATATATATATATATATATATATATATTCACGACGGTGTCGAGTATAGATTGAAGACTGGACGGATATGAATGTGTGCGTATACCATGACGTGGGTGAGCGTGGGACCAAGTTTACAGGCAAAGATTTGCGCAGTTTGATTCGGGCGCAAGGATGGTACTACCCCAACATGGAGCAGACCAAGTCCGTGTTCAAATTCAACGTGTGTCTGACCACATATGAGACGATCTTGGCGGACTTCGAAGAGTTCGAGGCGATTCATTGGCGGTTGCTGGCCGTGGACGAAGCCCACCGCCTCAAGAGCGCCGGATCGCGGGTCCTCAAGCAGATGCGCGTGCTTAACGTGGACCGCAAGCTACTGCTCACGGGCACGCCGCTGCAAAACAACACGCAGGAGCTGTGGGTGCTGCTGAATTTTCTCGAGCCAGTGATCTTTGACAACATGGAAGACTTTAACGACAAGTACGGGCGGTTGCATTCGCAGGAGCAAGTGATGGAGCTGCAGCGCATGCTCACGCCGTACTTGCTGCGTCGGGTGAAAGAAGACGTCGAGAAGAGCATCCCTCCAAAAGAAGAAACGATCATCCAAGTCGAACTCACGACGTTGCAAAAGCAGTATTACCGCGCGATCTACGAGAAGAACCGGTCGTTTCTGTACCTGGGGACGCAGAACGGCCTCCCGACACTCAACAACCTCCAGCTGCAGCTGCGCAAGTGCTGCAACCATCCGTTTTTGATCAAGGGAGCGGAAGAGCGCGAACTCGAAGCGCTCGGCGGCATGCCCGACGCGGAAACCCTGATGCAAACGACGATCCAAGCCAGCGGCAAGATGGTGCTAGTGTCCAAGTTGCTGCCGAAATTGAAGGCCGAAGGCCACAAGGTGCTTATATTTAGCCAGTTTATTCGCCAGTTGGACCTGCTGGAGCGGTATTGCGAGCACGAAGGGTTCATCTACGAACGGCTGGACGGATCGAGCATGGGGTCGTCCCGTCAAGCGTCGATCGATCGCTTTTCCAAGAAAAACTCCAAGTCATTTTTGTTTTTGCTCAGTACCAAGGCCGGTGGCGTCGGCATCAACTTGATTGCGGCCGACACGGTGATCATATTTGACAGCGATTGGAACCCCCAGGTACGTACACTCTCAAACGACACAAAAGTGATGGTGATATTTGGATGGGTTTTAGAACGACCTGCAAGCCCAAAGTCGGTGCCATCGCATCGGGCAAAAGAAAAGCGTGAAAATCTACCGCCTCGTGACCCGCAACTCGTACGAAAGCGAAATGTTTGATCGGGCGTCGAGAAAGTTGGGGCTCGAGCACGCCGTGTTGGGCACGGGGTCATTTAGCGAAGCCCACGACATGGAGCGACCTAGTGCCGAAATGCTGCTCGAGTTGCTGAAAAAAGGTATTGCAAACGTCGTCGTGTGACGTTTTGATTGGCTGAATATACTTGTATTTATAACCAATCAGAGCCACTCCAAATAGTTGTGATATGATGGGGGGGTACTATATATATATATATATATATATATTTGGACCGAATCCACAATACACACAGTGGGGTGTGTGTTTGGTTTGTCGCTTTTTTGTATATTTTGAGCCAATTAAATGAATACAGTATCGTCATCACTAGATCTACATCCTGACACACATACTTGTAGACATATATATATTTGTTTTGGGCCACATAAAAATGTTGTATATATATATACCCAATATATATATATATATATGTATATAACGTTATATCTCTACCCCGACACTACATGCTTGTAAACATATATATATATATAGATAGAACCTTGCGCTGATAAGTACAACAATGCTTTACATAGGCGCGTACGGACTCATGGACGACGACGACAGCGCGTCTCGATCGTTTGTCGAGCGTGACATTGAAACGATTTTAAAAGAAAACGCGCACGTCCGCGTGGTCAACAAACCGGTCGACGACGACGACGTGCAGCCCAAGAAGCCCAAGGGCATGATGGTATTTGACAAGACTTCGTTCGTGGCCGAGGGCAGCACGGGCGACCTGAGTGTGAACGACCCGAGCTTTTGGGAAAAGGTGCTGGGGCACATCAGCGTCGAGATGCTGTCCAAGAAACTCGAGGACGGATCGGCGTTGGCGTCGCGGCAGACCAAAGCCAAGTTTATGGCGCAGCTGCAGCAAGCGCTGGGCCAGCTCATCCAAGACGTGCGCGAGAACAAAAAGGAAAAGGATGCGTTCTTCCAGCACGAGTACGAAGTCGCAGTCAATATGCTGCAGCGCCTCGCAGCTATCAAGGACCAGTTCTCGTCCGATCAACGCAAGGTATGTACAGACAGCGAAAATCCATCGCATGGCGTGTATATATGTATTATATGTGTGAGGACATGGAAATATATATGTGCTGCTGCTTCATTGGTTGGTTTTGTGTGCATATATTATGTGTGGACGTTAAAGAACAAGCTGGGGTTATATATGAAACGGTATTGGAGTGTTTGTTATACACGTACTGCGGATTTAGCTGGGGTTGGATGTTCAAGTCGTGTTGGGGTCGTGTGATGTATTGCGTTGACGGTGTCTTGTATGGGAAACACACAAAGTTTGGGTGATTTGTGGGAAAATCAAACAAGATATGATTCAATGGTACCATTGCCATGTCTATATAGAGTAAGTAGATAGACGATGGACATTTTGTATATAGACATTCTACGTTTGGATATGTTTCATATGCTTTAGAAATAGGATGGTTTTTCGTCTTCTACCTGACAATGTTTGAATATATATAAATAAATATATATTCAAACATTGTCAGGTAGAAGACGAAAAACCATCCCCTATTTCTAAAGCACCTGACAATGTTTGAATATATATATATTTATTTATTTATATATATATAATTGTCTATGTAGGTGTTTGAAAAGTACATGGATCAAATGGCCAAGTCTCGCGTGCGCAGCTGCCGAGTCAACACGGCGGCCGTGAGCTTGGACGATGCGAGCTCGCCCGTCCGACGGCCCATGAAAGCAACGGACGGGCGTCGGACACGATGGAAAAAGCTGAAAATCAGCCGTTCAAAAGCATCTCCCGTCGAGTTTGAAGGCGCGGGCGGGGACGTGTGCACGTTGTGTGGCGAAGGGGGCGTGCTGCTCTTGTGCGATGGGGCGTGCCATCGGTCGTTCCATTTGGACTGCGTCGGCTTGACAGACGAACCGACGGACGCCAAGTGGCTGTGCCCAGACTGCTCGGCGGGTAAACACCGGTGTCTGGCCTGTGGCAAAGTGGGCAAGATGGGCTCGGAGCAAGGTATTTAAGAGTGTTTTGTACCCAAACTGTTGAGCTTTTGTGCCGATTCGCACCAAATGTACTATCGATCGATGCTATGTATTGTGAACTTTCGAGTGACATTTCATTGTGTTGTGGTTTCTCGTTGGAATTTAAATCGATTTGATTGGCTTCCTCAGATGTGCTCAACATTATTAACCAATCAAAACCTTCTCAATGAAATTCAACAACCAATCAGATCGATTGTGGATCGGTTTCGTCGGCGCGAAATTCGATTACACCCCAAATTTGTATATCAAATCGACAATAGTACTGACATTTTTTTGTAACGATCGACGAGTGTCACACTAATTTCAGTCACACACATTCATTGGATGTGGTATTGGTCCATGAGTGGATTAGATTCGCGCCATGTGATTCTTGGTCCAAGCCCTCGAGTTTTGAATTATTAATATCAGTGAAAATAGAAATAGGAGCCACAACCCAATATGATGTGTATCTTGGGACGACGAAACTGTATACTACTAGCTAGTATTATTGTATTGTCAAGATATTCGATTCGAAATTGGAGTATTTGGGGGCTCCATATCGAATGACCAGAATAACCAAATAAATAGATGGGCAGAGAGACCAATCAAAACATGAATCAACTAGCCAATCAAATCATCCACTCGTTGACCAATTCACCAACCACATCGCATTAGTGTTTGTGTGATTCAAATTCGTACTATCTTTACAAAAGTCAAAGATATCGATCATCGATAGATTTGGCAAAGAATCAAAAGTCAGCCAAATTTGGGGTAAATGATCGACAATATGTGTTTCAGTTGTCTATTGAGTCGATGTTATGAATAGCGATTGTATTCAAATATATAGTGTATATAAAATTAATTATTTTAAATTCTATATATACAGTAATTGGTATTGAGTTTGACAATACATACCCAGCTCATGAATATATGATGAATGCGTGTATCTTGTAGGGGTCACGCAGTGTGCGATGGCAAAGTGCGGTCGGTTTTACCATCTCAGCTGCATGCACAACACCAGTGCCCACGTGGAATGGGTCGGAAAGAAGCGGTTCCGGTGCCCAAGTCACTTTTGCGCCGTGTGCGACAAGGGCGACTCGGCCAAGAAGCGGCTGCTTGTGTGTACACACTGTCCCAAGGGTTTCCACGTCAAGTGTTTGAAACATCAGCGTCTGCTGCAACTGTCAAGTGCGTACATGATTTGTGCGGATCACCTCGAGACTGGCAAAGGCACGTTGGTGCAAGGGGACGAAGACGAATTCGATGAGGACGACGACGGCGACGACGAAGTGGAGAAGGATGTGATGGACGATCGAGGCGAATCGTCCGAGGACGAAGCCCCCCTGGCTCTGTCCAAGCGAAACGCCAGCACCCGCACGATCAAACGACCTAGAAAACTGGCGGATGCTGCAGAAGAAGACGACCAACCGTTGATGAAACGTACTCGGTTGTCCCCTGCCGCCGCCGCGACGACTCCCACACCACCCAACCATGCTAGAGGGTGGACGCGGTCGGCGGTGGCGGCGGCAGGTGTGTCCTCGGACGAAGCCTCCGTGCACGACGACGACGATGACAACGATGTGTCGGACACTGAGATGGTCACGCCAGTGAAAAAGAAACGTGCGGCGCCGAAAACCAAAACACCAGCAGCAGTAGGTCCCCCCCCTGCGAAACGGCGACCAAAGGCGGGTACTGTGGACGACGACGACAGTGACGTGTGTACCTTGTGCAATCGACGGGCTTCGTCTGCGATGCCGTTCGTGTCGCCGGCGGTTGTCGTCAACAAGAAGCCGGTACCGGTGCATCAAGCTTGTCTCCCATCATCGTCCAAGCCGGCGCCAGCGATCCAGAAAGCCAAAGCGACCGCGTGTGCCAAGTGCCAGCTCAAAGGCGCGTCCATCCCGTGCCTGTCGTGCCGCCACGTGTTCCATGTCCACTGCGCCGCCGCCGACAAGGGCGCGTTCGACGACTCGCACGAGTTTACATGTCACTTGCATCGATGCAGCAGCTGCAACGACTGGGTAAACGAGGCCGCCGTGATTTGCATGCACTGCCTCGCATGGTTTCACCCGACTTGTGTGGACACCAAGCCCGAAGACAGCTACTGCTGCGCCAATTGCCTCGAGGTAGTATTATTGTCCTGTATGGCCCCAATTTTGGACGTTGGGATGCTGTTGATTCACCAAATCTACCGATCGATGGATTTTCTTTGTACTGACTTTTGTATGCAAAGATCAGTGTATCACACTAATTTCAGTCACACACCTGAATTCGATGTTTGTGGTCGATGAGAGGATTGGATTGGCTACTGGATTCGTGATATCTGGGTTTTGATTAGACATATATCGATTCTAACACGTGAATTTCGAATCGCCAATCATCGATGCTTATGGTTGTATATGGCGGCGATTTATGTAGACTCCGACCAAGCGAAAGCGGCCAACTGACGACGACAATAACGACGACCAAGTTCCTAGTGAGGCCGGCGACGAGACTCCATTTAGCCGAGAAAACGCAGCGGACAAACAACCGGCGGCTTTGTCGCGGAGCTCCCGACGGGGGCGGCGGAGTGTGGGTGGTTCCTAACAATTTAAACAATAGCAACGCTATACATACCCAAGAAGTTCATGAAAACGAGCTCATGTGCTATCGGGCATCCTTCCTTTAGTGTACAGTCCAAGTGCAATTTGATCGAGATTACCAGCAGAATGTTGGTGCATACTAGTAGGTATCGCAGAATGTTGGTCCATACTAGTAGGTACTACTCCGGAGTATGTAAGTTAATGCCTTTCAATGGCAGGATGTTTGTCCGGTTGCCTCCGAGACATACATTCATACGATATCGTCGTTCGCGACAATAATGCTCAAAAGGAATGGACAACCCCGTGCTTCGCCAGGTGCTGTTGGGATGTTACGACCCCAGCAGTCCACTGCGCCACCTCCGCGGCCAACGAGGCATCTTGGAGCTCATCTTTGCCAAGCTCATGAAAGCTTGGGAAGCGCACATCGACGACAATGCTCGAGGCGTCATGCGTCTTGGCGGCAGGCGAGGGGCTTCCATGCAAAACATTCCAGGGCGAGTACCGCAGAGACTTCGCTTCCCCGAGCCGTGGCCCCAAACGATGGACCCGCTGTCTAACCGACCATATGACTTCCATGTTAACATGATGCCGTTTGTCATGGGCGACATCACGTCGTTGCCAACGTCCTGTCAACGGTACCACGATATCATTGTGGGATGTCTGGCGAAGAACAGCAGTGGCGAGCACGGTAAGGTGGGGTACCTTACTATTCACGAAGGTATGGTGGAAGCTGGCACGTCCCAGCGCCGCGGTGGGCTGCACATTGAAGCAGGTGGCGGCGGCGGCCAGTCCATCAAAACCGAAGATTTTTTCTGGGGCCAAGGTCGTTTCGAACAGAACGTCCTCCATGGCGGCATCTACATGGCATCGACGGTGGAGCATTCATGTGCGATGTACGATGTTGTGATTCAAGACCCGGCAAGTGTCGTGGGGGCACTGGGGGACGTGGAGCACTTGCGATCGAGTTTGGCCAAAAAAGACATCCGACCGCTGCTTCTTCAAGCGAACGAGCTCGTTTGGATGACCGATCGCACGCCCCACGAGTCGTTGCCATTGCCGGTCACGACGTTTCGCCAGTACTTTCGCCTAGTCACGAGCGGAGTCTCCCACTGGTATGCCGACCATTCGACCCCCAACCCGTTGGGCATTCAGCCCACCGCCAAGATTGTATTCGGCAACAAGTTTCACGCTGTAGTACATGATGTGTTGAAAGCTCCCCAGAATGATCTATCCACTTAGCGCACGTTGTCCTACACCTTTTTGCAGTTAAGTTGACCGAATGCCCGATTTATATGGCCATATGCCCGTTATAATTGGCCATGTGCCATTTAATTTGGCACACGGATGTCATGTGCCCGATATAATTGGCCGTGTGCTCAAGCAATTGTCCATCTGCCCAAAGAATTGTGTCATGTGCCCGATGAAAATGGAAACCACGCAATAAAAAGTCAATTCAATATAGAAATGGTCGTCAAACGACACATGCAGCATCGTTGCTGTGACGTCACATACCAACGCCCATGCATGTTGCCCATGGCCTCCGCGCGTTCATCGAGGGTGTGTTCCTTGAGGTAAATCGAACAATGAGCTCTGCGGCCAAAAGATTCAAATTTTGGACGGAGTTGTAGTGTATGGAAGCAACGTTGAAGTACACTATGGCACAGTATACTTTGTTCTAGTAAAAATATCGACGTCGACAATTTTAATTCAATACATTGAAGTCGATATTATGATAACAGTATACTTTATTCAAGTCAATGCTACTACCATGTTACTTTAAGAATGCTTGTCAGTTTGCACTGTGAAGACATTCATTTACACTGGCAAAGATCTCGTCGTCGTTCGAGACAATAATCAAAAGGAATGGACAACCCCGTGCTTCGCCAGGTGCTGTTGGGATGTTACGACCCCAGCAGTCCACTGCGCCACCTTCGCGACCAACGAGGCATCTTGGAGCTCATCTTTGCCAGGCTCATGAAAGCTTGGGAAGCGCATCTTGTCGACACGTCGCGAGGTTACCTGCGGCTTGGTGGGAGGCGGGGAACACACATTCCAGGGCAAGTTCCACAGTCCATTCAATTTCCTCCCCTGTGGCAGCACCATGACGATTCTACCACCTCCTTCCATGTCAACATGATGCCGTTCTTCATGGGCGATATCTCGACCTTACCCTTGTCCTGCCAACGATACCACGATCTCATCATGCAATGTCTGGCCACAAACAGCAGTGGCGAGCGCGGTGAAGTGGGCTACCTCACTATCCACGAAGGAGTCGTGGAGGCTGGCACGTCCCAGCGCCGCGGTGGCCTGCACATCGAAGCAGGCGGCGGCGGGGAGTCTGAACGATGCACCGATGACTTCCATTGGGGCATGGGTCGGATTGAGCACACTCTGCTCTATGGTGGCATCTACATGGCATCGACGGTGGAGCATTCATGTGCGATGTACGATGTTGTGATTCAAGACTCGTCCAGTGTCGTGGGGGCACTGGGGGATGTGGAGCACTTGCGATCGAGTTTGGCCAAGAAAGCGATAAGTCCGCTGCATCTTGAAGCGAACGAGCTCGTTTGGATGACCGATCGCACGCCCCACGAGTCGTTGCCATTGCCGGTCACGACCTTTCGCCAGTACTTTCGACTAGTCACGAGCGGAGTCTCCCACTGGTACGCCGACCATTCGACCCCCAACCCGTTGGGCATTCAGCCCACGGCCAAGATTGTATTCGGCAACAAGTTTCACCTTGCATTGGACGTAGATGTCTCCAAAGCTCCCCAGAAAGTCCTGTCAATGTGATGTTTTTGTTAACTAGTGCAAGGCAACTGTAGTAGTTAATAGTTACTGTGTACTTCGAAGCGTAGATGATATACTCTGAGAAATCTGCTGTCTGTGGTTATGTGTGGCGAGCGCACACCGCGCCATGGAATTCGTGTCACGCGGCCAATGCACTCTAAAGTAAACACATATGTACGTACAGTAGACAACTTCCAAACAACATTGTGAGCCTAGAAGACTTGCAATAGAACCCGACGATTTCAACCACGAAGGGGTAGTGGAGGCTGGCACTTCAAAACGCGGCGGTAGGTGGAGCATTTGCGATCGAGTTTGACAATCATAGACACAAGGTCGCTTTACTTCCCAGCAAACGAGATGGTTTGCGGATAACAGGTCACACTGCCGCTGACGGCCACCACGTTTCGCCAATTCTTTCGACAGATGACGAGCGAAGTTTCCCACTAGTATTCTGTCCATTCGACTGCGAGCCCATTGGGCATTCAGCTCACTGCCGAGGGTGTCGTGGGTAGTACGTTCTACTGTACGTCGGTAGCGGTGAAGTGACTGCCATGGATTTACAATAAGTATTTACGTTGACGCCGCCGGTACAAGTTGCGTTGATGACGTCTGACCGACTGTGCACCATGCAATAACACGGATCGTTGGACATTGCTCCTGATCATAAAATCTTTTGAGTTGGTACAAAGTTCAACACATCGTATGCGTCCGATGCTTCGATCAATGCCTTGGCGACATCCACTAACATGTCGTGCGAAATCTTTGTGGAATACATACATATGGTTCAAACTTCTTCGTCGTGAATTGGTCCTATCGGTGGATACATTTGATGCAGGGATTTCTCCGCCGGTACAAATACCCCGAGCAACAAATGTATCCTCGAACTACAGTAGTCCGTCGTGGGCAGTGAGTGGCCTCGTCCTCTTGCCATGTGCCAGAGCCTCCTCCACTCCCATGTACGTGTAGTGTCATGTCCCTAGCACATACATGCCCTCCCACGTCGGCGATGTCTCGGCGGCAGCGGCATCATACGTACACGCACCACACGTTCCTTCGTCTCGTCTGCGATGTGAATCAAATTGGGAAATGAACAAAAGGGCGCCAAACTCTGAGCCTTATCCGGATTCGTTCGGATACTCCAGTCTTCGGTGGTGGCGCCATCGTCGTGCAGAATACATTACAGTACCGGTATGGCGGAGTTGGAACAAGTGATCAGCAGCGCGTTCTGGGGCCATAGCAACGGCGTCCTGGTGCTGAATGATTCGGGGCTGCTGTGGCGGTCGCGCCAGACGGAAGCACAGAAGAAGGTGGCGAAGGAAGATCTGGTGAGCATGCTGTGGTCGGCGATCGGGCCGAAGCAGTACCATTTGAAGGTGACCACCCGTGGCGGCAAGACCGTGCGGTTCACGGGGCTCAAGCAGAGTGACGTGGACCTTATTCGCACATTCTCGCGCGACACATTGGGTCGCGAGATGGAAGAAGAGCGTCTGGCGAGCTCAGGTGGGAACTGGGGCCACATGCAGTTCCAAGGGTCGAACCTGAACTTTGTCGTGCAAGACCAAGGGGTGGCGATGGATCTGCCTTTGGATCTGATCGCCCAATGCGCGATGCCTGGGAAGAACGAGGTCGAGTTGCAGTTCCACGAAGACGACACCGTGGCGGGGGACGAGGAATCCCTCGTGGAGATGCGGTTGTACATTCCCGGCGACGCCGACGACGGCATAACGGCGGAGGGGTTGAAGGACGAGATCTTGGAGCGCGCCAACATCAGCCACGTCACGGGGAAGAGCATCGTCGAGCTGGACGAGAGCATGGGCACGTTCTTGACGCCGCGCGGTCGGTACGCCGTCGAGCTGTACGGGTCGTTCCTGCGCATGCACGGCAAAACGTACGACTACAAGATTTTGTACTCCAACATTAACCGGTGCTTTCTACTCGAATACCCGAACTCGACCAACACTGCGTTTGTGATCTCGTTGGAGGAGCCGATCCGGCAAGGGAAGCAGGGGTACCCGCACTTGGTGCTGCAACTCGCGCGGGACGAAGTGCACATTGACGTCAACTTGACGGCGGACGAGATCAAAAAGTACAACGGCAACATCCACGAGCGCATGTCGGGGAGTTTGCCGCAGATCGTTGCGACGCTGTTCAAGTTTATCATGGGCAAAAAGGTGTACACATCGGGCAAGTTTACAACCCACAGCGGCGACCGCGCCGTCAAATGCGCCGTGAAAGCGAGCTCGGGCGTGCTATTTCCACTGGAAAAGTCGTTTATGTTTATTCACAAGCCCACGACATTTATTCGGTACGAGGAAATCGATTACGTCGAGTTTCAGCGGTATGCCGGCCAGTCTGGGTCGAGCGCATCGCGCAACTTTGACCTGCTCGTGAGCTGTCGCGGGGTCGGCCAAGAACAAGCGTATGAGACAGTGTTCAGCGCCATCGACCGCCGCGAGTTCCCCGAGCTGTCGCAGTTCCTCACGTCGAAGAAGCTCAAGATCCGTAACCTCAAGGACACGCAATCGGCGGCGACGGCGGGTGGCGCGGCCGGTGGTGCCAAGGAACGCGCCAACTTGGACGACGCGCTGGGACCAGAGGAAGGCGAGGTGGACGAAGAAGAAGAGGAGGATGACTCGGACTTTGGCGGCGGCGACGACGCTGCGTCCGGCTCGGAGGATTTCTCGGACGAGGACCTGAGTGGAAGTGACGGGAAAGAAGACGACGACGACGACGACGACGACAAGAGCAAGAAGAAGAAGCAGAAAACGAGCACCGAGTGAGTATACTACGAGACTAACTACATAGCACTACAATTACACGAATGGCTCGAGTATTTTGCAATCAAGGATCGACCAATCAAAACCCACAACAGTTATCAAGTGGCCAATCAAATTCACTCTTCGACCAATATTCGTATGTTACTGAAATTAATGTGATACTGGTCGATGTTTACATACAAAAGTTAGGACAATGAATCGATCGATCGATCGATATTTTTTTAAAATATATATTTGGCAAAGAATCAGCACAAAAGTCCAAATTTTGGGTAAAAGAACAAACTATTACTCTAGCAATTGGATGAACTGACTGTGATGTTGAACTCGGATAACTGGTAACGTAAAAAACCAATTTAAGATAACTTTTTTGGAGGCGTCGGAGTAGAATGGACATAACGTTTGAGTCCGTTACGATATTTGAGTTTTGAATAGTGATTCCAATAGACAAGACGCGCCTCTTTCAGTTCATAATCAAACTATCAGTTTAGGCGATGAACTTCACAGGTAAATTTGTTACTTTCTAAGCATTTGTACTCACATTTTGATAACCAATTTAGGATAACTTTTTTTATCTTAAAGTATGTATGTATCTGAGCATTGAAATTCTGTGTTTAGGGTAAGCGGTTACAACAGGTTGAATATAATTTCTACAAGGGTACTGTTTTATAGAGTTAAATTTCTGTTGTGGATGGGTGTCCACCGAGTTTAACACTTGACAAAACCGCAGATCCAACCCAATGTGGCCCGTGTCGACTAGGGAACTTCAAACCCAATCTTGATTGACTGTTACCAATGGCTTCTACGCGGTTTTTGCATTTCATTCACGTGACGGAATGGCCAGCATTATATGATAGAGGTTTTGACTCGAACAAATAACAAGGTGTGATTGGGCAATACAAAGTTATCCTAAATTGGTTAAGTTATCTTAAATTGGTTTTTTACGTTAGTATTACTATAAACGTTACTATTAATATAATAGTAATTCATACTAATACCTTACTATTGCCGAAAAAAATAAAACCGGATGGACAATGATATTGAAAAATTATACTTCGAAGTATAATATAAACATCCGTATGAAATTGGAGAAGTGGATGAATGTATTGAAATACTACCGGTAGTACAGTACGTTGAAGTATTTATATTAATATTACCGGTAGTATTAATATTAATATCAATTCAAAATTGAAATACGTCAGGAATTTTTCGTTAGAATTTTCAATACAAAACGTGCTCCTGGGAGACTGCCACGTCATGATGTGTCCAATAATGTACGATTTCAAAAGCCGTACTTAGTGGTGTCTGATATTCGTGCCAATCGATTCTTCACACATGACGATGATGCACGCGACCAAGGGCGAGTTTGTCGGCGCTGTGACGGCACTGCATTTCTCTGCCGACGGATCCTTGCTCTATGCGGCCGTAGGATGTACGTTGTACGTGTATGACACTACGAATGGCACGATGTTTGTGTCGCCACTGCCGATATGGTCACACGGAACGATCCATGGCATGGACGTGGCGCAGTCGTTGGCGCTGTGCTTTGGTCAGAAGCAACTCGCTCTTGTGAGCGCGCTTCCTACCACGACCACGTCAAATGTACAATCGTCGTCTCCATCGTCCATCATTGCCACGGAATGCATGGACTGGATCCTGGACGCGCGCTTGCTGGTGGACGACGTCGTCGTAGACGACACGGCACTTCTATTGCCCATGGTTGCCGTCGGCCTCGCGCACAACATGGTACACATATGGGACCCTTCGACCCGCACCACGTTGCAGACGTTTCAATGCACCGAACGCACCATTTTGGTACGTCCTGCTTGATTTCTCCAGATTTGATAACCCCCTGACGAAGAGAATTGGTTGTGTAGTATGCGATGGGACTGTACGGTCGATCCCTCGAGTCGCTTATTGTAGCGGCAGGCACGGTCTTTCAGGTATAAAGAAATCATTTCTTCTGGACTCGAGCCCAGCATGTTTAGCCTCCTACAATGATGGGTCTATACCTTGGTTGTCACGTAGCACATTTTACTGTGGGCACCTCCGACATTGTCGTCCTCATCCAGCAGCCAGCAACCTTCCAATTCCGTCGCCCAAGTCACCCAACGCCTCCACCAACATGGTACATTTTGTTGGCTTCGTATCCATATATATTTGCATACCAAACGTGGATATGTCACTTGGTTAGACGGTGTGTTGTTTCAATTGACGTGGTCGAGTACGGGTCGACAGCTGGCGTCCGTCTCGGACGACCGATCGGTGCAATTGTGGTCGAATCTGACCAACGACGTGGGTCGTGATGACGTGGCACTCGCTCGTGACGCGAATCTCCGCCTTGGGTTTCAGTCCCAATTCCGAGGATGGGGACATACCGCCCGTGTGTGGGATGTGCAGGTACGTCGGTCGTCGGTGGCTAAGTGTTCATGGCGCTTGTAAAAGCATATATTGTCGTTTTACCCCAAATTTGGACTTTAGTGCTGATTCTTTGCCAAATCTATCGATCGATTCTTTGAAAAGATCGTCCAGTGCCACACTAATTTCAATCACACACTAATTCGAAGTTGAATTGGTCGAAGAGTTGATTTGATTGGCCTGTTGATTCGTGTTGTGGGTTTTGATTGGTCGTATGTCGATTGTTTTGGTTAGTCTGCTCATTCGATTGAACTCCAATTTCGAATCGACAATATAATACCAAACAACAATAACAATTATGAACTCGGACTACGGTAGTTTGCCAGCCATGGACGCCTCGTAAGTGTGAGCGAAGACGCCACGGTCAAAGTCTGGAGCGGCCCCACTGGCGACTGCTTGACGACGCTACTTGGCCACGTCGACACCAACGTGTGGCGGGTAGCTGTCCACCCGGCTCGGACGGAATGGGTGGCCACGGGCGGCGGGGACAACGCCATCAAGTTGTGGAACATTGACCGCGCCATGGCTAACCAGTCGTTGGGAACCAGCGCCACCAGACACATGCAGACGTTGCCAACTTTATCCCTTTCATCATCATGTGCTTCATCATCGTCGCAGAGGACGTTGGAGGAGGCAACGCTGGCCAAGAAACAACCAAAAAAAGTCAGTTCCCACGGCGCGTCTGTGCGCAGTTTGGTGGCGTTGCCGTCGAGTGTGGTGTGGATCAGTGACCAAGGTCATGTGGGCGTCACATCCCTCATTTCTTCGTCGTCGGCTCCACTGGTCGTCGTGCCATTGCATGCCAACTTGTGTTGTGTGGCGGCGACCTCTGGCGGCGATCTGGTGGCGGTGGGGGACGTCTCGGGGTGCGTTCATTTACTCTCCTCGTCGTCGTCGTCGTCTACGTCGTCAGATCTTGTCGAAATCGCGACAGCTCAAGCGCATATCGGGCGCATCATGTCTATTTGGATTGTCCAACACCAAGATATAACAGCGGTGTTTACCACGGGCGTGGACTTGACCTTGCGCGAATGGCGGGTGGCCCCACGACCGCAAGGACCAGGTGATCATGGTGATGCTGGTCGTACTGCCTTGACTCCCGTCGCCACGTATAAATGCCCAAGCAAACACTGCTGCGTTTCAGCCTTGTTGGCAACGGATGACGGCGCGCTGTTGTGGTGCGGCGACGCCCGCGGAAACTTGTGTGTGTACGACCGCGTGGCGCTAGTTGCTTCAACCACTGACGATCCTCATGGCGACAAGTCCAATGCAGGTATCCAGCCCAAGCATGTACTGTGGCAAGTTCACGGCAAGGATGTGGTACGTTTGGAAATGCACTCGAAAACAGACTTGGTTTCCCTGCAGATGACTCGCCCATATCCTTGGCGAAACAAACCCCCCCGCGATTCGTTGTTTGTATTTATCACACCACTAAGTGTCCAATGTTTGGTTTACGCATTGCTTGACTGTGAAACCGTGCCTTTCTCGAATATATATATATATATATATATATATATAGCGAAAAGGACAATATATATATATATATATTGTCCTTTTCGCTGAAATTTTTGAATCGATTTATGGAAGATTTTTGAAGCGTCTTCCATGTATAAAATACAATTTTTATATCGACGTACGTACACTTTTTGACTTTTTGGTTGGGCCCCAAATAATGGTTCAAACTTTTCAACAGTTTTTCGAATTTCTCAATAGCGTAATATGATAGCCATTTTCAAATTAAATTCATATTCTATATTGGAAATAGTCCACATTGGAACGGATTTGGCAATATATATATATATTTACATCGATGTTGTGCCGTTAGGTATCCTGTCTGACGTGGCACAACCACATGCTGTACAGTGGCAGCCACGACGGATTTGTGTGTACATCGCGGTATGCCTTTGGAGAGCTGCAAGTGGTGCGTCGCGTGGGGGTCAAAGGTATTTCAACCATCAAGTCCATCTACTGGCAGTCCGACGGCGGTCTGCGCGTGTTTGGGTTCCACGCCACGCAAGCCATCTTGGTGGATGTCTCGCAGTCGCTCCGGCTCTTGGCGCTAGAGTGTGGCGGCTACCGTCGGCCCCACGCGCTCTTCCTTTCCGACTCTGATGTGTCACATGTGTTTGCATTTACCACCCCCGGCTCCGCCGCCCTCCAAGTGCACTCGTCGACGATCATTGTCCACCCATCCAAAGGCCACCAACCCACTACAACCACTGCGTTGAACCACCCCTTTTTGTCGTGGCACGGACACCATCATAGCAAAATGGCCACCAGTGTCGCGTGGGTACACCCCCTTTCGTCGTCCACTCCGCTCCTCGTGACGGGCGGTGAAGACTGCGCCCTCAAACTCCATGCCCCACATGTAGGTCGAAATTCCTTTTTTTTCTGGCACGTTGTTGTTTTGGTATGGCGGTTTCTTTTTTCATCTTTTTTTTTTTGCTTTTTTTTTCAAGGCTACCCTACAGGTGCGTGGAATTTCTTTTTGTTTTGTTTTTTTTCTCTCTAGCATCATCTATCGTTTTGTCTGTGGTGTTATTGTTCATATAAACACGAGGCGTGGTTTTTTTCCTCTGCTTTTTTTCTACTATTTTTTTCTGCTCTTTTTTTGCAATGCAATCATCTACAGTAGTTCTGGATCTTTCGAGGGGTTCAATGCATTCATGCTCCATGGACCCTTCGAAAGATCACACTATTTCTCGTCGAGAATGTTTGCATACTTATGAGCTGTAGAGCACGACAGGCAAACCAGTGCAGTGCGTGGATACAGTGACCATGCACGGCACAAACGTGCGGTCCGTGGCGGTCGTGGGTCGGGACTGGGTCGTGTCTGGCGGCGGCAAGCAGTCCGTGCACTTGTGGCAGGTGGTCGACAACCACTTGGATCATGTGGCCGAGCACACGCCATCCGATGCGTCCCAAGATCAGCGCATCCTCGCGCTCGCGGCCACGTCCGTGCAAGGACATGGCACAGACGATAACGTCATCGCCGTGTTTGCTACCAACAGCGAAGGCCAATCAACCTTCTTCACGGCCTCCACGGACCGCCGCCGCGCCGGCCGACTCGACCGACGGCTCATGTGGACCGGACGGAGCGACAAACCCATCTTGAGCTGTGCGTTGACTCCCTCCCATTTCTTCGTCACGGGGGCCACCGATGGCTACGTGGTCATCTGGGATGTGGCGACGCTGTTACGGTATCTCACACCACGTCCTGGTGACGTTATCATAATCACGTGATGGTAGAGGGGACACCTCAACGTCGCCACCTCGACAAGTCTACCAATACCGAGCCCATGACATGGGAGTGAACTGCCTCTGCATTCGAGCGACGGGGCCAACCACGTTTGACGTGTTTAGCGGCGGCGACGACCAAAATATCGCGCATGCGGCGGTGGACGCGACCGACCGGCTGCATGTGCAAGTACGCCACTTGCAAGGTAAACAGAATGCGAGTGCGTCGGCTCTCAAGGCGATCCAAGTGCTGGACGATGTGGTGGTGGCTGCTGGGTACGACCAGCGTGTGACGGCGTGGGGCATGGAACGAGATGAGTTGACTTGGCGCGGGGCTGCGTTCTCGGAATGCGCTGATATTGCCGGTGTGTCCTTGCGGCGACCGACATTAGAAGATGATGGAGTGATTGAGGCTGTCGTCGTGGGGAAAGGCATGCAAATCGTCACGTTCCAAAAGTAGTGCGATAAACAAAGTAAACAAGGTGGTTCGACAAATATATATATATATATACGTCAGTCGAGGTCTAATCATCCAAGACAACCAGGTCGTTGCTCCCGAAAGTGTTTTCGCCACTGTATGTGATGTAGAGAAACCCATCCGAATCCTTTTGTTCTTCGTAGATGTTCGACATGAGCGCCGCCGTGGGAGGCAGCACGTTGTTGATGAAAATGAAGATGGCTTTCTCGGGGCTCAACTTGATGCGCTTTCGGATGACGTACACGAACTGGCCCACCGTCAAGTCGGCGGGGACAAGGTACTTCTTCTTGTCAATGTCCGGGATCTCGCTGCGATCAGCCTTTTCACAGATCACCGGGATTCGGTCCGGGTACTTGGAGCGGATGCGCTGGGCTTCTGCTTGTCGCTTCTCTACAAGGTCATGCCTTATTAGACCTCTGCGTAGAGAGCTAGACACAGCGACGGCGGCGGGGGCACCTACCGAACGGATGCTCCTTCTTGAACGAGTTCATCTTGGCGCTGCTGTGGAAATTCTCAACTGCGGCGAGGCAGCGGCTTCTGGGATTTCTTCTTTGTTTTTAGCCAATCAGAAGAGACAATGGGGAGAGATCGACCATCACTCTGCATCAAGGATTGACCGAGTATACTAAAACCAAGCGAATTTTGAGCGACAGTGGCGGCGGGGACACAATAATTTATTGAATTGCATACAAACAAGCAGTAATATTTGAGTTCATCGTTTTATTATCTCGAATGTCCAGAACATGACAAATCCGGATAATGACATGGAATACCGGATTTTCCAACTTCAAGGACGAGCGAGGAGCATATTTCATATGGTATTTTTAATACCAAGACGCGCTGAAAACTGTAACTTACTATTAATAGTAACGTTAAACCTTTACACGTAGTGTGTGTTAACACCCCTATTGTGCTTTGGAGTGCAAAGTGAAGTATTTGGATAGAGGTGTCCACTGCATTATGTGCCTATTGACCTCCCTGACGGGTGTATTGCATACCTTCAGTTAAAGTACATACACACAGAAGTTAGGTATACGGTACGTATGATTGAACTAGCAACGTACAGCCAACCGTGACGTTGTTTCTGGGCGTGTGAGGTCAGTCTAAAACCGCCATCATGTCCGTCTTATCCTGAGAAGTTCCCTGCATATGTCAATGATATTGCCAAGCCTTTCAAGGCAATAATAATTCACAGTGTACCTTGCTACCCCCGAATTCCAATCCAACCACCCGCGACCACCAAGTCAACACACAGTTGTAGTCGCGTCAGCATAGCGAGCCCCTGTGGGCGATTCACTTAGCCACGTCGTCGTAGGTTGTATTATGCGTGGTAATGTTCTCGAACACGTAACACCCGTCGCTGTGGAACCTTGGACGTCGATCGGGTAACCCTTGTGGTTGTCTCGCAATCGTTAAAACTCCAGGGTTCGATTTGATTGGTCAACGCCCAGTAACGGTTGATAAATAAACCAATCAAGTTCTCCCTTTTAGTGTCCACGGACCAATCAAATCTGTGACTTTGGATACGAATGCACATATATACTGTGTACCCATAAAGTTAGCATATTTCATTTCCACATTAGCTTGTTGGTCATCCCATGGAACGCTTCAGCTACTCCCGCAACGGCGCCGGCGTCGACTTGAAATGCAGCGTCCGCGTGAGCGTTCCCATGGTCACCAAGGTGTGCAATAAGGTCCATTACAAAGTGGCCATGAAGACGACCCACGTGAACCCGCCCAAGTCGTGGGAAGTGTTGCGCCCGTACTCGCACTTTGCGGCGCTGCGCAAGGAGCTGCTCTTAACGTTCAAAGAATGCAAGGCCAATATGTGTCCAGGGTGCAAGCACTACGAGAAGGCGATTGTTCAGTTCGATTTCCCCAGGAAGCATCTGTTCTCGTCGACCACGACCGAGGTGCTTCGGCACCGCCAGCTCGCGCTCCAAGCGTTCGTAGCCATGCTAGCGTCGCACACGTTCACGACGGCCCCTCGGTGTCCAACATGCAGCGGCCGCGTGTTTGAACTCGTCCGCGACTTCCTCACAACCGAAGTGGGCGCGGCGAACGTCGACAACCCGAACGACGAAGCTTCGTCCTCGGTTCTGGACGAAGAGACGCGGCGAAGTGCGTTTGCCGTCGATAACTTCGTCGAGTTCCATACGCCCTCTGCAGATGTGGTCGTGGACAGCAACGGGGACTTTGTCGATTCACCGACCAAACGGCGTAGCAGCCCCAGTGAAGGAGGAGCAGCACCCCTGCCACCACCACCAGCTACAAACACCCCCACAGGATCCAAGAAGCGATCGAGTTTCCACAGCTTTGGCAGCGGCGGCAGCAACGAGGATACATCGCCGTCAACGGAAAACAGTAGAAGCAGCCATAGCGATGTTTCGTCGAAGCCAGCCAAAGTGTACCGACAGAGCAGTGTGAGCGACCTGGCCGACATTCACCTAGACGACGTTCGACCTGCGCAAGTGGCGGGAGGGCCATGCGTGGACGATGACGAAGGCGACTTGAACATGGACTTTATGGCGCATATTGCTACGGACCCATCCCTGGTTGAGCAGCAGTAAACGGAATCAATTGATGGAAATACATGAGCACGCTTACTATTCCACATGTGTCAGAAACAGTATGTACGTTCGTCATGTTAACATACAATGGGGCTAGTACCTCTAGTCGGCTACAGTTCTATTAACACGTTGGCTGTTATAAAATTCAACGTGAGCTTGGTAGTCATTGCTCTCCACTGAGCCCATCGTTAACCTTACCTCCAGCAGTACAGTACTATAGTATATATACTTAGTATATATATACTGCACCTACACCTCCGTACAAGGTTCTCTGGGCGGCCACTACAGTACAGTAAATACCGGTATACCATGTGTACTAAGACTGCGTACAGTACGTAGTAACACGCTAACTTATCAATGGGTGGGTGTGTACGAGCATCGTTGGTTGTGTGTACGACACATTGCACTAAGTCATTGATACATTCCATCAATCGATCAACAGTGTTTAACTTATATGTAGTCTCATATTCGAAGGTACTAGTACAGTACAGCTAAGTTGTATTGTAGGGGAGGTCACACAACGAGCATGCATGTGGTGGCTATGGAATCTCCATTGGGGAATTCCCTGAATGTACTAGGGTAGATTAGAGTCGCTCCATGAGTTGGGGGAAGCAACTAGCCACACATTCGCGTGCTGAATGATATGAAAAGTTGATAGATTAAGATACACACAGACACACGACGGGGTAACTCAAAAGTCGGCGTCCAGCGTAAACGTTTGCTCGCTGACGTTGACGCCAACGCCCGACTTGGAGTACTCGCCCACGCGCTTCTCGAAAAAGTTGGTTTTGCCTTGCAATGAGATCATGTCCATCCAGTCAAAGGGGTTCTTGGCCGCAAAGAGCTTGGGGGCGCCAAGCGATTCGAGGAGGCGATCGGCGCAGAACTCAATGTATTCGCACATGAGCGCCGAGTTCATGCCAATGAGTTCCACGGGCAAGCTCTCGCTCACAAACTGCTTCTCGATCTCAACGGCATCGCCGACAATCTCGTGGATGCGCGTGTCCGACAGCTTGTTGACGAGCTTCGAGTACATCAAGCATGCAAAGTCGCAGTGCAGGCCTTCGTCGCGCGAGATGAGTTCGTTCGAGAACGACAGGCCCGGCATGAGCCCGCGCTTCTTGAGCCAAAAGATGGAGCAGAACGAACCGGAGAAGAAGATGCCTTCCACGGCGGCGAACGCGACGATGCGCTCGGCGTACGCGGCGCGCTTGTTGTCGCACCACTTGAGCGCCCAGTTGGCCTTGCGCATGACGCACGGAATGGTTTCGATGGCGCGCAGCACGCGGTCCTTCTCGGTCGGGTCCTTGATGTATGTGTCGATGAGGAGCGAGTACACTTCCGAGTGGATGTTTTCGATGGCGATTTGGAACCCATAAAAGCATCGCGCCTCGGGGACTTGCACTTCATTGCTAAAGTTCATGGCCAGGTTTTCGTTGACGATGCCGTCGCTCGCAGCAAAGAACGCCAGCACGTGCGTGATGAAGAAGCGCTCGTTGTCCGACAACTTGATCCAGTCGCGCTGATCGTGCACCAAGTCGAGTTCCTCGGCAGTCCAGAAGCTCGCCTCGGCTTTCTTGTACATTTCCCACACGTCCGCATGCTGGATCGGGAACAACACGAACCGGTTGGGGTTCTCGACAAGGAACGGCTCGGGCGCGAGTTCGCCATTCAGCTCGCGGATCTTGTGCTCTGTCAAGTCCACGACGGTAGTAGATGGCTCGTGGTTGGAAGGCGACATGATGAGGCAGGCGGAAGTTCCAAAGTGACCACCAACATGGCGGTGGGCACTCCCGCCCAAACAAAACCCCGCGAAAATACGTTCCAAACGTCTGGATACGCTCTTCCAAATAAATGACAAGGGTATACTTGCAATATATAAGCAACGTTATAATGCATATAAATATGACATATATAATAAAGTCAAATGAGGTTACAACTATTACTCTAGCTGTGTATAGTATACATTTATCTTCATTATAAATTGCTTGAATTATATACATCTGTCATTTTGAACAATATAGATTTCAAGAGGAAGACGTCCTGATAGGCATCTCCCACTGGCTATAACACTCATCTAATCAGTAGATTATCACTGTATGAAATCATATTCGAGGGTTCGACTCTACTTATATGAGGCAATGTTATAAATACATAGAGGTTTTGAACTTCGGCGCCTTTCCAAGACGATGCAAGATTTCGTTTAAAAATAGCGTTTCAACCTGTGTTTCGTAAGTGCTTTAATACTAGTAATGAGAATGAATCAAGTGATATGATTGGCCTACTCCTCATCCAGGCCACACGCCACGACATTATTGACCTGGCGAGATTTCTTGGCATGAAGTGGCACTTTGCCTGTGCCTTTACTTCGCCTTCGTCGCATACATGCATCTGAATGGCATCGCCGCACCTTATTACTAAGACCACTCAAACTCCCAACTTTATACTGCTCTGTCCAACAAGAATGGTCACATTGCTTTTGGCTGAAATGTCCCTCTTTTGACTTGATTAAAGTATGAGCATGTCTCGCCAGATGGATAGTATAATTAAGATACATCACAGGAAAACGAACTGGTGTTCTCACTTCCACATATTTGTTCAAGGTTGCGAGACGAGGGAAACCAGTGGTAGCTATCCTTCACTTAACGCGACACAAGTTTCCCCAAACAAGTTTCCCCAAACAAATGCGTATTTGAGCTCACGATATACAGCTCCACATATTGAGTGGTCTACTTTCCCTTGAGAGTGAAATTCCACCGCCTATGCGAGCTGTAGGGTGCTCAGCTGCTGTCATTGTAAACATGAAGTCAATAGCAACATGAAAGTACGGTTTTAACGATGTTAACGTGGATTTTGCGAGGCTGGTGGGCTTTGGTTCCAAAAATCTGCGATAAAAAAAAGTTTGTCACCCCAAGTTTTTTTAACGATATCGAATATTTTCAGTTAAAAAGTCAAGAAATGTAGCGTGAATCAAAATCTTCAATTCGCACCAATCAGAATCGTACATTCATAAAAATACGATTTTTTCACACGTCCTTGAACCAAATGTGACAATTCTTGTAGTGTAGTGTGGACCATCGTCCTGTGCCCGTGGTTGGAAGTGTAATGGCAACCTTCGTTGGCCTGACAATGCCTTGGGTGTTCGTTCTAACGTGAATCAAGATAACATGTGTATGGCACAGTAATGTACACGCGTGTCCGCTTGTACTAACCATCGACTGTTGGTATCACCACAAACGGCGTTTCGGCCTCGTGATGTATTTTTAGCATCGTGCGCACTTGAATTCTAGCTATGAGTCGCCAAAGGGGGGATGATCCGTTGAACTGCGACGTACTGTCGTTGGACGACCCCGTGACCCCCATGACCGCTCGCCCTACGTCTTCGTCGGGGCGCAGTAAACCCAAAGCCAAAGACAAGTCCGAGTTTCGGCGGTACTTTGACCAGAACGAGCTTCCCATGACTGTGGAGGTATGACCCTCAAGTCAAACTCTGCATCGCAACACGTTGTGTTTGAATCCGATCCACCATTCAAACACTCGTCGACATCCCATGCAGCTTGTTTGCATCGTCAGAATAAATCGTTGTGCCTGTTAGACACAAAATGGCGACCGCAACATCGTGTGGACCACTCCGTTGGAAACTCTGGATTATACCCACATCCTTCCCATTTGCTGCAGTGGACTGCAGGTACAACCAACCCATCATTGTTTGGGGCTCCTCTTACAACCGACTTGTCGTTCTCGTGACAGCACTAACTGACAGCTGTATACAACTGCCATTGAAGCCATTACGTTGTTAGGAGTCCGTTGAGCCGTATCCGTCGTTGGCTTTCAAAGCCACGATGGAGCTGCTAGAACATGGTATGGCAGACACGCGGGTGCTCAAGTCGTTGGCATCTATAATGTCGCATGTCAAGGCGGCGCTGAGTACGCGGGACAAGGAAGTGGTGCATCGGGTGTTGTTGGTCGTGCAACAGTTGGCCGTGTGCGACGGTGGGGATAAACTGACTGGACTTAAAATATGCGACGACGTCTGAAGAGATTTCTCTCAATAGGAGTGGGGGAAGCATTGGGGGAATACTATCGCGCGATCCTGCCATTGTGCAATTTGCTCAAAGACAAGCGACTCGGGACAGGAGACAGTATGACCAAGGAACTGATCCAAGACACTCTGGAAATCCTCGACGCTTACGGCAAGGACGACGCACACCACCAGATTCAACACCACGTGCCGGGGTTTCAGCATTGCGGAATCAAGTAGTAATCAAAGAGTCAAGTAGTAGCTCAAGTCTACTGCAGCAGTTAGTAGGAAACTCTTTGCTTATGGGAACTGCGTGTGATACTGTGCTGTAAAACGATGTCACTGTATCCATGCATTACGAGTTGCAGCCCATTCAAAGAGGATTTTCTGCTTGTTTGCATTATATCGCTTCGTACGTAGGGAAGCGATTGATACCATTAAGGTAGTCGTGGTTGGAACGCACCTACCATCTACCGATATGAAAAGGGGCAGAGTCATCAACTCCCCCCCCAATCATAAGTAAAACCACAACGATAGGCTGATGGACCGCTTGTCCTGTCGCCGCCGTATATTCCATATGAACCAACTATGACCCCCCCTACATGCATATCGAGGTGTTGAATACTTGTTCCATACAAGTGTATTCATGTTTATTCTAGCACCTGTGTGCTTTCAGCAGCAGGCGCGTCAGCTGTCACTAGGGGCCATACCTTGATTGGTGCCAAGCTATCATCTTGGGCTACAACGTTTAGCAGCTTGTTGCCGTGTATAACGGTAGCATTTGGCTGAATGCCCAACGGGTTGGGGGTCGAATGGTCGGCATACCAGTGGGAGACTCCGCTCGTGACCAATCGAAAGTACTGGCGAAACGTCGTGGCGAGGAGTGGCAACGACTCGTGGGGCGTGCGATCGGTCATCCAAATGAGCTCATTCGCTTGAAGAAGGACATATTTGTGGTTAAGTTTCTCGAGCAGTGGTCGGAGGTGCTCGACGTCGCCCAGCGCGCCTGTGACCATGTGATGGTCGCGAATGGTCATGTTGTACACTCCACAAGAATCGGCCACGGTAGACGCCATGTACACACCTCCATGGATGCAGTTTTGGGCAAAGAAACCGCCGCCCCATACAGGGTCCGGAGTGGTCGTGACGAAACCTATTGACGACGATCGACCCGCCGCCTCGACGTGCAGGCCGGGGCGGCGCTGGGCTGTGCCAGCCTCCACGGTGCTCTCGTGGATCGTGAGGTACCCGATCTTTCCATGCTCGTCGCTTCGGTTAATGTGCATGCAGTGCAAGATCATGTCGTGGTACCGCACACACGACGGAGGCAGCGACGACACGTCGCCCATGATGAATGGCATCATGTTCACGTTGAATGACGCATCGTGGGACGACCAAGGTGGTGGGAATTGAACACGTTTGCGCCGACCTGGCATGACACAAGGCACCGGCGCCCCCACCTTTGGCGTGCATTGCATCATGCCAACGGACGACGTGTCAGTCACATGGAACGTCCAGAAGTCCAGGATAGCATTGAAGATCGCCATCAAGACGTCGGTGTGGCCACGGAAGAGCGCGAGGGGGCTAGCTTCGTCGTAGCATCCAAGCAGCACTTGCTTTAACACTGGACTCTCCCAAGCAGACACCGACATCGCCGCCATTTTGCAAAGTAGCTCCCTGGCTTTGATTAGCCAATCATAACGCTGCCACTCCTCATCAATGACCAATCACAACGCAGCCAGTCCTCGTGATCTCATGGTTGACTTGCAAAACAATCTTTTATGGCCCACACTTCCGACAGCCTGCATGCGCTACTGGCCGAGTTGCGGGTAGATGCAGCAAGATCGTCATCCAGAGGCCCGATGGTGCTTGTGGCTGGCCCCACAGATGCTGGCAAGTCGTCATTGTGTCGGCACTTGTTGTGGCACTCGCAGCTCCAAGTGTACGACGAGGACACGTCCAGTCCAACCACCAGCAGCAGCAGCAGCCAGCAACACCAGCATCCGATTGTCTTTGCTGATTTAGACATCGGACAAGGCGAAATTGGGCTGCCTGGGACTATCGGTGCGTCGGTAGTGACACGGGACAACTTTGTTGTGCCGGCACCAGCCGATGACCAGGTGGACTTGGCCGAGTACGGCAGCGAACACAACTTTCCGTTAACGTGGCTTCGCAACCTCCTTTTCTACGTTGGACACACCAACATGTCGGAGAAGGACTGGCTGTTCAAATGGTATGTCCAACAACTGGCCACCCGCATTCGCGATAAGCAAGCCGCCGACCCTAGACGTACGAGCAATCTCTTGTAAAACCAAAACCACATGAAAGCTCACTGTGGCTACATAGTCGCGGCGTCCGGTGCCGTGATCAACACGTGCGGGTGGGTGGAAGGCAAAGGCCTCCGTCTGCTTCTAGCTACGATCGCCATCTTCCAGCCGTCGCATGTGGTGGTCCTAGGTGACGTCAACTTGTACAACCATCTCTTGCATGAACAGGTGACCCCGGTCGTGTTGGGACTGCCGCGGTCGTACTTGGCCCAACGGCGGTCGGCTTCGTCTCGTCGAGACACGAGGAACGGTCGACTGCGGACGTACTTTACTCCTCCCCCTCGTGGGTCAGGCTCTCCAGAGAGCTTCCACATTGAGGTGGCCACGTCCCAAGTCCGCTTGTTTACCCTTGTCCGTACGTTGTCCATAACCATTGTAATGTGTCAGGCTCGTTCTATTTGGGTTTTATACACCAAATAGCCCAATGCAACATATATACGAGGATGGACTGAGCAATGTTATTGGGTTTTGTGTGTGGTAGAATCCCAAAATCTCGTTCGAGTGAAGCGTGTGCCGTTGACTGAGTCGGTAAACCATGCTGTGGTCGCCATGTGTGTCGTCGAGTCGGACCACATGCTGGTGCGCTCCACAGTCTTGGGCTTCCTCTGCATGTACGTACTGTATGTTACATTACGTTATTGGATTGCGTTTCGAAATGCGATGGGATGTATGGAGGAGTGTTGATGCAGAGCCCTGACTGAATGTGACGTACGTAGTCGCGCCGTGAACAAAGACTCGGTGGTGTTTGTGTCGCCTCGACCTGGCCCTCTCCCATCCAACCATTTTTTGCTCGGTCAAGTGCAGTGGCTAGAAGCGTAGAGTTTCATAGTAGCTGGCAAATATGGTTCACTACAATCGCGATTGTAACCATCCTACTATAATAGTACAGCTTAAACCCTACAAATGCAAAATTCGTCAAGTCCAGTTGTTGTATTCAACGAGCCCCGCTAAGCTGAGGGTTTCTACGGTGCGAGTTCAATGCATCCACAGGCTTTCAAGCTAGTCACAGAGTGAAGTTGAATGCTATGGGTTGTCTAATGGAAACCACAAGTTTGACGTTTTGAAAGTGGTTGGGTGATTATTCTCGATATCTTTCAAGGCGGTCATAGTCGGTAGAATAAAATGTGCAATATGTATATACTTATTAAATGGATAGGTCTACAGCGCTGCCGTGTTGAACCAGCCCCCCCAGTTGCCTCCCTACGCCCACGAGGCGATGGAGGATCGCTGGCATGCCGCCAGACAAATCCGTTGTTTTCACCACGCGCAGCACTTTGGGCAACACCGCAGGCGCATACTTCGCCAACGCCAAACATCCCTCTCGCAACCCGTCGCCCCCCACAGTCACCAAACCATACGAGGCACTCACGGGCAATCGTTGGGTGCAGATCATCTTAAGGATTTGTCCGTGCCATGCCGACGTGAGGGTCGTGGCGGCGCAGATGAGCTGAATCCGCGCTTGGTGCTGGGGGGACGAGAACAACTGCGCGCAGCCAGGCAAGTAGGCCGTGCATAGCCCTTCAATAAACGACGCGCCGCTTTCGCACAGGACAAAAACGGGCCCGATGGTGCTTGCGTGGAGGAGTAGCTGAACAATGCACTGGTCGAGCTGGAGTAGACACGAGTGTGTTGTGGAGGTCGGGGGGATGTTTCCCTGGAGCCACTCGACAGGGCAGAGAAAATCGTTCCACGACAACACGATGGCATTGGTCGGACGTGGAGTCGCAGGACTCGACATCGAGTTCATTTGAAGGGTGGGTCGAAGGATGCCTCGGGATGGGTTTTTGTTGTTGCCGTACTGTATTGGCACTGGTGCGCTTGCAAACATGATGAGGTACCAATGTTATTTTGAAAATGAATCCAATGCCATGTCTGTTAAAATCCAAACTCAGTTTTATCAGATCTTGGAGAGAGTGATGGTGCAATTGGACAATCATTCGCAGACTTGTTCAACTTGAAAACTATTTTACAAAAATCATATCAACTCGCCGTGTTCTAACAGCAATAGTATATTTGATTGAAATTCACAGTTATAATAGCAGTAAAGGTTGCACTTCGTGGACGAGAATACATACTGTACATCGAATGTAATGTTAAGAATAAAGCAACAAGAAGCGACTACTACTATCACATAGTACTTGTAAATCAAATCAGAATATCAACCATCACTCCATTCACCATGTCTGATAAAGCATTGACCTTAGATACAGTAAGCGCCAACTATTAATAGTACTACTTCGTAGTATTATTGATTCACTTTCAAATTAGCTCTCAACTGCCCACCAAGTTTGCAAGCGCACCAGTGCCAATACAGTACGGCAACAACAAAAACCCATCCCGAGGCATCCTTCGATCCACCCTTCAAATGAACTCGATGTCGAGTCCTGCGACTCCACGTCCGACCAATGCCATCGTGTTGTCGTGGGACGATTTTCTCTGCCCTGTCGAGTGGCTCCAGTGAAACGTCCCCCCGACCTTCACAACACACTCGTGTCTACTCCAGCTCGACCAGTGCATTGTTCAGCTGCTCCTCCACGCGAGCACCATCGGGCCCGTTTTTGTCCTGTGCGAAAGCGGCGCGTTGTTCATCGAAGGGCTATGCACGGCCTATTTGCCTGGCTGCGCGCAGTTATTCTCGTCCCCCCAGCACCAATCGCGGATTCAGCTCATCTGCGCCGCCACGACCCTCACGCCGGCATGGCACGGACAAATCCTTCAGATATATCTGACCCAACAATTGCCTGTGAGTGCCTCGTATGGTTTGGTGACTGTGGGGGGCGCCGGGCTACGGGAGGGTTGTTTGGCGTTGGTGAAGTATGCGCCTGTGGTGTTACCCAAGGTGTTGCGCGTACTGTAGACAAGAGACTTGACTGGCGGCGTGCCAGCGATCCTCCATCGTCTTGTGGGTGCAACTGGGGCCCTTGCTTCAACACGGCAGCGCTGTGGATTTGTTCATTTAAGTTATTATTGCATATACATTCATCCCTGGAGTACACAAGAACTGTAGCAGCATCAATTCAAAGTACCTTTTCGAGGTTATGGCTCGAAATATCTCGGGGGCTTCCTACGTATGGCAACGATGTCGCTAGGGGGTATTTTAGATGTTCGTGTAAAGCAGTCCCAGGGTTGATTTGAATCTGACAGTACTCTTTCACTTGGAGTTCTACTGCAAAGCAAGAGCAGTAACCTACAATCTGCAAATATATTATTGGTCTTTGAAACCTCTCGACCCACGCATTCGTGATCCTTGCGGATGAAACACTCTTCCACGCCATGATCGCCCCTCTGCGAATGACCCCACCCTCACGGACACCAGCGGGATCTGTTCTATTGAAGAAACTAATGGTTTCAACCAAGTGATCTACATCCTCTCCCTTGTACTCCAACCCCCGTCACTCTCCAAGAGCGCCAAAAAAGCCCGCAAGAAGTCAGCCAACCAAGATGCCATGACTGCCTCCAAGTAGATACTAGTTAATTGCCCTACCCGGTAGTAGGTTGCTGTCATTGGAACTCAACCCAAATAAGTATAATGTACTGTACACTTCTCACCCGTAAAATTATGCCATAAACCGTTTTGGCAAGTCTGCAAAATTTCCCAAAGTCTCATATCCCATGAAAAAAGGAGATAAGAAGTACTACGTAGTAACTACAAAGTTGTCTGGATGCCAGTTGAATTACGGAAAAATTATTCGCAAGAAACTGTCAACGTGAACACAAACCTCCATAACAAAATTGGACCAAATCAGTTCCATTTCTTTTATATATATGCCATAAAGCACCGATTCTGAAGAAAATTGTGGCATAATTTTTTGAACTTTGGAGACATCCACAAAATCTCGAAAAATGGAATATTTCGATTTTGGCAACTTTTCTTGGAAAACGGCCATTTTATGCCAGTTTTCATGGCATCCAGACCCGCCCTTAGCATTATACTAGTATGAAAAATGTCCTCTGCGCTTTAATCGGCCTCAACTTTGCTGAGAGGACAACAGCATTGCATATAACGTGCAAGTGCTGAGTCCGCACTCATTGAATATTTTGCCTGCAAACAAGTGCCGACTTCTCCGCGTCCAATTTCACGCTCCAACACTGTTGCACTCACAGTCAAAGCTATCAAGTGGTATTTTGAAGTCACAGCAAGCCTCAACCCAGAATTGCAGTTTCAAACTTCAATTTCTGGGTTGCAGTTTCAAACTGCAATTCTGACCAAAGTTTGGTAAGTCTGGGTGTATCGACGTTCTTACTGGGCCGAATAATCTTAATGGACCGTGCACAACGCATAAATCTGTTGCGATGTCCATATTAATCTGCCGGTCTGAGGTCGAGTATGCCAAATAGCTGCAAAGCACAATACAGGACAACAGAATAAGTACTGTAGAACAAAACCTTCTACGAAGGAAAATGTTCCAAGACTACGGTACAGTACTTCAAGTAAGTTACTTACTTGCACTGTTGGCGTAACCGAATCCCCTATATCAGTGCATTTGACACACATCGACTAATCTTATCCTTCGAAATCTCAAATATGTCACGAAGATCGGGTAATAAGCAATCCAAACCTGCGCATGTTGAATATACTGCATTGACATTTCATATAGTTTATGGTATTTAATTTGTTTACCGCTTTATTGCAGCCAAATTTGGAGATAAATGACTTGGACAGTAGATCGCTGTATTGTCTGTACGAAAATGTACTAGTTAAGGTATATTGGCCCCGTTACCATTGCATCTCCGGATACTGAAATGGCGTAGCTTTGTTTCGAATTCTTACTCAAATTGACTCAAACAACATTTTCCAACTTGGCCCAACCCTGCCAAATGAAGTCTGTCGTTGCTTTCGGAGTCGCCGCGTTGGCCGGTGCCGTGTCGGCCGCCCCGTGTGATATCTCTGCCGTGTTGGGCAACTTGATCCCCCTGGCTGCCGACCCCAACCTTGTGACGTGCAGTACCGATTCCGGCTACAACTTCCTCGTCAGTGGCGCATCTGGCATCCCGCCTACGACTGACCAAGTGACCAAGCTCTCGTCCAGCACGGCGTGCAAGACGTTGTATGCCAACCTTGGCGGCATCGTGTCCAAGATCTCTCCTTCGTGCACGTTGGGCGGCGTGGAGACGTCGACGTTTGCGACCTTGTCCATCCCGGACGCGCTCTCCGCCATCTTCACGGCCATCAAGTCGAGTAACGTCACCGCGCCCACGACCACCACGATCAATGCGCCCACCGCCACTCCCGCACCCACCACGACCCCCAAATCGTCTGCCGTCACGTCGGCCATCTCCCTGGCTGCCGTCGGATTGGCGGTGTACAGCATGACCAACTAACACTAAAATCCTAGTTTTGAAAAATACTTTCGTACACTGTGTCTTTGATGCTGTAGATGTATTTCCACTTCGTGACAAGTGCAGGACACCTTGATTGTATTGTGTGATGCATCGTTGAAATCCTTTAGAACTACTACTACGTACTACGTAGTACAATAGCACTGATGGCGTCGTATAGTTCCTTCAAGTCCTATCATATACACCGGTAATGCGCGTCATCCAACTTTACGCCTGTAAAGAATATGAAGCCCAAAACCGCCCCGTACAATTCTTCAAATGACAAATCTTGAGTGAATTCGCTCAATAAATCATAGTTTTGTGCAAGGTGAATCGACTACGTATTGTCAAGTCGATTCGTAATTGGTGTCGCGAGTAGAAACGAATAGACTTGGCAAATCCATGTGAGAATGAACTAGCCAATCAAAATCCATTCTAAAACCTCCCTTTACAAGATTCTGAATGGTTCAGCCAATCAATGCGTTTTCTAAAAAAACGTTGCAGATCCAACTCACTGTACATTAGTGAATACAAGATATATTGCCAAGTTCATTCAAAAACGGTTTCACTTTCACTGAACAGTCCAAATTTGTGAGAAGGACAATAACTGCAAAAGAAGCCAATTGTGGAAATTGCCAATAACGTGTCCAACCATTGATGGGCCAACTTTTCTTCATTTTTAATCTCAATTATTTCGGTTGTTTTTTGTTTTCCGAGTGGGAATGATACATTTTCGGATAGGTAATGATGAGTACTTTATGAATAACTCGAAGGATATCGATTTAAACAGTTTAGGAATGTACAGGATTTTTTTGAAGTCGAGCACTTTACACAGTCGACCATTGATGGGCCAACTTTTATACTTGAACTAAGTATGAAGAATCCAGGTGTCAGTTTTTTTCATCCAGCGAGAAATATCAATTTATAGAGGTTTGCCAAATCTGAACAGGTATCACGTATTGGAGTCTCAGTTGGAAAATATAATTTTCAATGTTATTGGCACACGTGGAATAATATACACCTCATATTGTAACTCGTTTGTGCAATATAGCTCGTTTGTACAAACGTTGGTGAGCATGCGCAAAACCCCGTTGTACGATACTTGGACAAACCAGGTACGGGAGTAGGTTGGGTCAGGGCAAAGGTTAACCAGTGAAGATTATTCTTCGAGGTGGGCACGGTGCCTAAGGAATCTGAATATAGCATAAATCATAACAGTTAGTATAACGTTAACCAAAAGAAATATCTTTTTCTTGTGTCTTTTAACTTCGAACAATAACAACATTTAGCATAAACAATAATAAGATTTAATATATTAACTGTCCTTACCACTAACCGTCACGTATTCCTTGAAAGATGTTTGTATTTCGATGACGCCGGGGTCAGCTTTTGCCGAATGCTTCCGAAGCGTCCGCGATGGAACGCCATAGGCCTCCGCAGCAGTTGATGCCGTGTGTACTTGCTTAACACATCGTGGACGGCTTTGTCCATGGTGACCTGCGTTCTTGGCGGCATTTCGTGGGTTCATAAATTGAAGAACCTTTAATATGTAATATTTTCCCCTTCATTTATTCATGCAGGTTAAATTTGTCGTGAGGTTGCCTTTTGTCCAATCAGAGTTGATTGGCGTTTTAATTGGATGAAATAAGTCGGCCCATCAATGGTCGGACACGTTAGGGTATTTCGGAGGTGACATACATGTGCATCTCTTTTTCTTTTCCGTAAAAATTGAAAACACAGGAAATGAAAGGGATTTTATATCATCGATTTCAGAGAAAGTGTTATTTCCCATTCTGTAGACTACCGATAGATGGAGCCAATTTTTGGACTTCGTGGAGCCATGGTGAAGTTGTTTAATGGTCAATACACGCATCATGCATTCGATTGCCTTTAAGCTAGAGGCCTTGAGGTTACTTGAGACCATGAACGACACAAAGGCCACCGTCGAGCTTAGAGTTTCACGGAGAACTGTGCGAACTGGTATAGCCAGCGGATTGAGTTGCTTGTCTTCGATGGAAACAAGAAGCGGATGAAGTTGCAACCAGGCGGTCGCCACGAAATATTCCCGGACCCAACAGGCCTCGTTCAATTCATCATTGAGTTGGGCGACGCAGAGCGTGTCCTTACAACCATGCACATAATCACTTGGATCAAACGGAACCAACGCCCGTGGCTGCTCAATTACCTCGTGACAAAGAAGTCTGGCTCGGGCTACAACTCCATCCTGCAGTTGCTCCGTTGCTTCTGCCAACGACATGGGTTCTCTCACCAAAGACCAAGAAAGAGCAAAACGAGCCAAGGCGACCTAGCCGAGATTGGCGACGAGTTTGCTCTCAACTTCCATCGATCGTACAGCGCCTACGGAAAGGAGTGCACGTACAACGTCGACGAAACAGCTTTTCTATTATGATATGCCGCCTAACTACATTAGGGCTGTCTGTGGAGGTAGCTTCAAGATATCATGCGGGAAGAAATATTCCATGAGCATGACCGCTCTCCTCACTGCACGGGCTGATAGTACCAAGCTCCCTATCATGTTCATCATGAAGGGTCAACCAGGCGGTTGTATTGAGTCGTTGGAAATACCTACATTTCCTGCCGGGCACTTCTACGCGGTCCAAGAGAAAGCGTGCATGGATGCCCACGTGTGGAAAGAGTTTCTCCGCTCGGTCCTGTACGACGACATTGAGGAGTGCTCCGTTGTGCTAGTTGACAACTTTGAGTCCCACGTTTCGGAAGAGTCAATAAATATCATCAATGACGAGCTGGGTTCGCACCTATGTGCACTACCAGCAAACACGACGTCGGTCTGTCAGGCGTTGGACGTTGATGCCATGGCTCCTTTCAAGCGGCACCTACGTGAGTTGTGGCGGTTTGAGGAGATGATCGAAGGTGACGAGGAGGATCCATATTCATTGACCGCGCAGCAGAAGGGAATGGCGATGGCCAAACGAGCAATTGCCGCGTGGGATATTGTGTCGGCTGACGCCGTTCCGCGGCAGTTTTGAGACGGCACTCTTGTGCGCCAACGAATGAAGAATAAACTGAGTTTTATACATTAGACATCCTTTACTTTTTATTACTAGAAAAATTTAGTTGAAGGATAATATTATTTTGATAATTAAGAAAAAGTTTGACACTCCGCGGGAATTGAACCCGGGTCCCTTCCTCTATCATTTGATGCCGTCACGCTTAATCACTGCGCTATCGCGTCAAACGCTTACGCTGATACTCGATGCATCGTATCAATGACTTGGTTGCGAGATTTTTCTATATGTCGACGCATAGTCTGATGACCTGCAGAAAACTTGATATTTCAAATAATCCAGTTATGCTTCATTGAGTTGTTATTAGTTGTGTAAATTAATTATCTCCATAATATAAATACAACCATGGTACCAGTCAATTCTATTTGCATTGCACTGCAGTCATTGGCAGAAAGAATTATCGCACTTCGAAGTAAGGTAGCCAATCACATGATGATATTCTGGTTCAACGCGAAGTCAAATGTGGCCTTGCAATCCGTAGTTCCCTGTACTACGTAGTACTACTACAGTAGTACTTCTCTGGTGCATCTAGGATTGGTTGATCAGCCACAGGTGCAACACGTCGGATGTATATGTACTACCTCCGGCCGGAAATAAACCAGCCATTTCATTCTTGGAGGTTTTTGCAGAATTTACCGGAATAAATTATGTTATAGAGACCAAAAACATGTATCCGGATATCTGTCACGATTTGATACTGATTATACTATACACCTGCAGTAATTTATATTATGTACAAAACATAGTTTAAATTGTTGCTGACTATTGGTTGATGCAGGTAGAATGCATCTTTTGCCACTACTCGTGTGCGAGTTGACCTACGCTCACGAACAAATGACTGAATAATGGACAAGACCTCTTTGGTGTCTGGAATGCGTGTATTGCGGGTAGATCTATTCGCAGCAACTCGAGCAGTAGTTACAGTCTTATCTCGTAGATATTCCGACCAGACTTCCTTTACAGCACGGACGCTTCGACCTACCAGCTGTGCAATCTGCTCTGAAACACCTACGGCGTTACGACGTCGAAGTTGTGCATGCATGCGAAGAATCAATAGACGTTCGTCTCGTGACAAACTCCTCGTTCGCTCAGTATCGACGAAACTTGTGATCTCATCATACAGCTCAGTGGTGATGTCAGGCATTGGTGTGTAGAACAATGATCATGTTGATGACTGGACGTGCAAGTCATTCAGCCATCATTCAAAAATCGACCAATATTAATTGAAGGCTACATTATCAGATGGCACGTATAAACCACATCCAGGTTTCTGGTGTTTCTCGGCACAAATATATTCTAGAGAGGAAATTATTGAATCTTGAAGACTATCGATATTCAAGAGGCAAAATGACTATCATTCTGGTCTTTCAATCAGCATTTCATGAAGAATATTCTGTTTCAAGGGACAAAGGCATTACCAAAAAATTCGCACAGAAAAGCAACGAAGGAGAAATTTTTTTTTAGGAAATTTCATGAACAAACGCTCAGGCTGCAAAAAAGGTCGGTCGATGCGTTCGACCATTTGTAACTAATACTAGTATGTATGCTTACACTTACTGTAAGAAATTCCGAGCATAACGCCGTGGCGTACTTTCCTTGAACGTACGGTACAGTATTGGCGATAGTGGCGTTTCGGCTGGCAAGTTTCGAATTACATCTTCTAGGAACGGAACCTCTATATATCTATATAGTATACTGTACTGTTAACAAAGGTTTTGATCGGTTCAACCAAGCGAGCATGGAAATTTCAAGTATGGCACGTCAGCACGAAACTCCTATCTGGCTTATATGTATTTCGATGTATTCATTTCTCAAAATTGAAGTAAAACGAGACGTAGTTTCGACAGATCTCGTCGTGAAGAGATGTTACAAGAAATTTGGCGAAGAATTGGTTGAGTAATAGACTAGACTGTTAATCCTAGTGTTATTTTGTACTACTACAGGGAACGACGCTGAATAGTGCCGCCAATTATTGTTGTGATTGGATATTGCACTGACCAATGACGTATCAGGTCATCCCAAAATAGAACAGATGGATGGATTGGAATTTAGCATTACAATATTATATTATACAGGTTATAGATATTAAAGATAAAAATCAGCAAAGGCTCAACTTTTCTGCTCTACCGTTCATAGAGAACACGGATTCATGGAGTGCGTTGAGTCCAGCACGATTTTGAAACACGAATGTGTAACGTGTTCATTGTGACAATCGAGAAGAATGCAAGGAATTTGTTTTGGGAAAATTATTTTATTATATAGTCACATCAAGACAAACTTAAAAAATACGGATTGGGTCGATGGTCTCCAGCCGCAGAATCTTTAGTATTACTAATAGTATGCTTAGTACTAGTGGATTTTCTTGAAACATGCGACAGGACGTTCAACGGTGCTATCAACAACGGTCCTTCGCTGGCTGTTGAATTCTGAAGCCTCATTTTTGATTTTGCCGCCATCGAGACAAGTGTTCGTCTTAAACTCTCCGAGAGGGAAGGGGCGGTCCTAGGCCACATACTCCGGTATCCCAAGCACTGGCTTTCCACCGGGGCGGCCTCTGGTCTAAATGTACCATTCGGGGAGATAAGCCGGTGCGAAGGGGCAAAGGTGTTCTCGTGATAACCCATAGATCACGCAAGTGCTGCTTACACGGACCCATAAGAGAAACATCCAATGGCTGGCAGTGCGATGTGTTGTTTGGAGGAAGTGCGCAGATTTCACTACCCAACTCGTCACCGACAATGCGTTTGCTCTCATCCGTAACGTGGGAGTCAAAGATGTCAACCAAAAAAACTGATGGGTTCTCAATAATGGGGGCAAGCACATCTCGCAGATAGTACCTCCATACATCACCGTTCATCCATGCCTTCTTCTGCATCGCGTTGAAGTGGCCTGGAGGGTACTCTTTGAACTCGTTCGTCTCAATGACACCACCAGGCTCGCCTCTGATGACAAAAAGGATCGGCATAGACCATCGGCACGGACCGTCAACAACGCGGTCATACGGTACGAGTGGGTCTCCGAATTGGCAACGTAGGAGCCGCCACCACGAACGGCCCATATCGAGCTTGGGCGCATGTCTAAGTAGATGCTAGTATCATCCGCATTGTATAGGCAATCCGGCGACAGGTCCAGGTAGGTGTCGTGGAACAGCTGGCCGAAGAGGAAGCAGGTGGACTCCAGGTCTTCTTGTGTCTTCTTCTGACGGCAAACTCGCTGTTTCGAGAAGCCATGGCCGTCCGCAAACCACTGCAGCAACCGGAGCAGCGATTTGTAGCCCTCTTTGCGCATTGACATGTAGTTGACGATCCACTCCATGTTGTCTTCGCGCGGGAACTGCATAATGTGTGACGATGTGACGGCGAGCTCGTGGCGTCGAAGGTCCTTCATGTACGTCACCAGCGCATCAGCACCGGGAGGATCGGTTTCGCACCACCGTTACCGGTGTTCTTCTTTCGTGTCTTCGAGCCTTCGAAGGAAGCCAGCTTTGACTGCTCCTGTACCCACAGTCGTACGGTACGCTCCGCGTATCCGAGCTGGCGGGAAGCCTTGCGCACGCCTGTAGTATGGGCAGTGACTACCGCCTGCAGCTTTTGGGCAATGAATGGCCTTGGACGATGCTGGATGCCCTTGGGTTCCATTGGTGACACCTGGTCTAGCAGGGAATCGATTTGTGGAGTTGCCAGGCATCAACTTTCATTCATACTTGCCGCGAAATATATTTACCAATCATAAATCAGTTAGTGAAATAGAGTTGCTTGATTGGCTAATTCAAAAATTAATTGTGCAATTTCCCGCGGCACTATTCAGCGCTGTGGCTGTGGTTGGTCTTGGCATTTACTGGGTCGCTGGGTACATTGTGGTGGCCCATCGCGTGGAGGCATCGCCTTCCCTGGGCGCGTTGTGCATCATGATGAATACCCTGGGCTCGACGCTGATATTCGCCGCGGACACGCAAAAGTACTTCGCGCTCAAGTACAAGAAGGGCCTGATCTGGTACGTCGTGACGAAGATGTTGAGTTGTCATCATATGAATGGTTCCCTCTAGTATACCGGTAGGGCCAATATAGATAGGGCCAGTTGATTTTGGCCGCGATTGTTACCTTGATGTTACAGTGAATCCCCAGTTTTCGCAGTGCTGTATAGGTGAAATAGAGTTTTGTAGAGGTTGCATTTGGTCAGAGTGCCCCGTTTCAGCCATCACCAATTTAATATTATTACACTTCAACCTAATACTACCTAGTATTGTCGACTTTCTTCAAATTTCCCAATTTTGCATGGTTCGTTCAATCGAGCTCAAATAGAGCCGCGACATCTGATTGGCCATTATCCACTTCGCCCTTTCCAGTCGAAACTCGAAAATGGATTGTAGCCAATCAGAAACAAGTATTTTTGGATTGACCAATGGGAGAGATTGGTGCTCGATTCGCTCGGCGAGATTCGATTGAACGGGGTCCGGAAATTCATACCGAATCTCCAATACCACTTCCCATACATTTATGAAATGACCTTGACAGTAACTTACCAGGTAGCACTGGACTACCGTATTTCCCGCACATCTGTAACCACCATTTCGTCCTGAAGAACTGTAACCACGTTCAATGATCAATACTAAACTCAAGACAAATATAAAGCCAGTGTGAACGAAGCAAATTGGGTCTTCCCATTAAGCTGTAACCAATAATCAATGATTGGGTAATATTCAACCAGTCAAGACATAGTGCTGCAGAATTCAACATCTGAAAGTGGATGGAGTTGAAGGCCGTGGACATTGTTGGCTGCAGAAATGGTGAGGGAACTCGAAGCTGTACGTCGCATGAAGTCTGAAAAAAAGAGGTAATTTGTTGAATCCATAATTGACATGTTGCAGAAGTTCCCACTTAAACAAATCAACTACGGTAAGTCTAGTAAGTATACGCAAAGGTTATGGGTTATGGGAGTAGCATACACCCGCGATACTCGGGAGCTATATACGAAGCACACTGCTAACGTTATTCCCGGGTTAACCTCTCGGACGGTTAAGTTACATCTCAGTGATGAGCAATCTTATTCACTAGATGTACTTACAGTTAACCCCGATTACTAAGTATTGTTTTGTGCTCATACTCATTTGGCTATGGTGTAAAACGAACTAGGCTGTAAAAATGGACATCATGGTATGAGGAATTATTCGTTGATCAAACAAGTTCTGCCGTACATAATATTTATTAAGAATAACAGGTAATCCAAGTCTCTCGGTCACCTGCACATTCCGATAATCAGAAATATTTGATTATGGAGGAACTAAAAGTTCCCGCTTAACAAATCAACTTCCTTTTCGATAATATATTTTATTATTGTCCAGTCAGATTCAGGTATTAGTGCAGTGTAACGTTACGATTGACATGTCGCAAAATCGGTCAAATTCACTCCTTGCGACGCCACCCTTACCAAGTCGAATACTTGAGACCAATGTCGCGAAAAAACTGTCGCTCATTGTCGCTGCCAGAGGCATGAAACTGGGCGATGGCTACCTTGCGATCACTATTTACGTGCTGCTGCACCTTCACCTTGAAGGTGCAGCGATACGTAAATACTTCGAGGTAGTGATTTTGGGCTTTGATGTTCAAAATTGATACTACCTCTGTCCTGAAATGTTCGCTACAATGGCGAATCTTGAAGTTTCACAACGATTGCTACAATTGTACCACTGTGTATCCATTGTGTCGATTAAATGTATTATTTACAAATAAAGTGATATTATTTTAAATATTAGGATTTGCAAAATTTCAATGGCATCATCGTCGACAACGTCTTGCACATCAAGACCCTTCAGCTGCGTATGAAACTCACTGTCAATGTGGACCTTGATGCGTGACGACACGTTGGAACATGGGCCGAG